CTACTGTTATTTTATTTTACTGCTGCTCTTTAGTTATTTGCTTTTATTTTTTTTACTTAACACTTAACCAACAATGCATATATTTTTTAAAAATATTTTTTAAAGGGTTTGTAAGTAAGCATTTCACTGTAATGTCTACACCTGTTGTATTCAGCGCATGTGGCAAATACAATTTTATTTTATTTTATTTGATCTGCATACTTTCCGAATGCACTGTACGTGCTCGTCGTCCCCATCAGGGTCTTGACCTGACTGTAGTTCGCCGTTGTAACCGACATCAGTGGACAAATGCTCACCTGGCCACTGGCACCCTGGAGATGTGTGCTCTTCATGGATAAATCCCGGTTTCAACTGTACCGGGCAGATGGCAGCGTCGTGTGGATGAGCGGTTTGCTGATGTCAACGTTGTGAACAGAGTGCCCCATGGTGGTGGTGAGGTTATGATATGGGCAGGCATAAGCTACGGACAACAAACACAATTGCATTTTATCGATGGCAATTTGAATGCACAGAGATACTGTGACGAGATCCTGAGGCCCCATTGTCGTGCTATTCATCCGCTGCCATCACCTCATGTTTCAGCATGATAATGCATGGCCCCATGTAAGGATCTTTACACAATTCCTGGAAGCTGAAAATGTCCCAGTTCTTCCATGGCCTGCATACTCACCAGACATGGCCCCCATTGAGTGTACGACAGCGTGTTCCAGTTCCCGCCAAAATCCAGCAACTTTGCACAGACATTGAAGAGGATTGGGACAACATTCCACAGGCCACAATCAACAGCTTGATCAACTCTATGCGAAGGAAATTTGTCGCGCTGCATGAGGCAAATGGTGGTCATACCAGATACTGACTGGTTTTCTGATCCATGCCCCTACCTTTTTTTTTAAAGGTACAGATACATATCTGTATTCCCAGTCATATGAAATCCATAGATTAGGGCCTAATTAATATATTTCAATTGACTGATTTCCTTATATGATCTTTGAAATTGTTGCATGTTGCATTTATATATTTTTTCAGTGTAAAATAATATGACAGGTGAAATGAAGAATGAGATCTGCTTTATTTCCAAATGTATTGCTCAAGTTGACTGCAGGTATTTATTAAAAAGTAGCTACAAATACTACCATCAATTGAAAAACTTCAAATAAATAGTTTCAACGTTATTGATGGTTTTGAAAAACAATCCTGTGGCTATTTCCAAATACCCAGGTATACCCTATATACGGTATACCGCCCAAGCTTACAAAACAATACATACAAATCCCCAAAAAATAACAATCAAGAAATCAATAAATATCAGAACCAGCAATTTCAAAGTCTGGAATATACACTGAGTATACCAAACATTAGGAACACCTTCCTAATATTGTGTTGAACCCTTTTGCCCTCAGAACAGCCTCAATTGTTTGTACCATGTCTTGTGCTGCTACCATGTTGTGCTGCTGCCATGTTGTGTTGCTACCATGTTGTTTTCATGTTGGGTTGCTACCTTGCTGTGTTGTCGTGTGTTGCTGCCATGCTATGTTGTTGTCTTCGGTCTCTCTTTATGTCGTGTTGTGTTGTCTCTCTTGTTGTGATGTGTGTTTGGTCCTATATTTATATATATATACAGTGAGGGAAAAAAGTATTTGATCCCCTGCTGATTTTGTACGTTTGCCCACTGACAAAGACATGATCAGTCTATCATTTTAATGGTATGTTTATTTGAACAGTGAGAGACAGAATAACAACACAAAAATCCAGAAAAACGCATCTAAAATTTTTTATAAATTGATTTGCATTTTAATGAGGGAAATAAGTATTTGACCCCCTCTCAATCAGAAAGATTTCTGGCTCCCTGGTGTCTTTTATACAGGTAACGAGCTGAGATTAGGAGCACACTCTCAAAGGGAGTGCTCCTAATCTCAGTTTGTTACCTGTATAAAAGACACCTGTCCACAGAAGCAATCAATCAATCAAATTCCAAACTCTCCACCATAGCCAAGACCAAAGAGCTCTCCAAGGATGTCAGGGACAAGATTGTAGACCTACACAAGGCTGGAATGGGCTACAAGACCATCGCCAAGCAGCTTGGTGAGAAGGTGACAACAGTTGGTGCGATTATTCGCAAATGGAAGAAACAGAAAAGAACTGTCAATCTCCCTCGGCCTGGGGCTCCATGCAAGTTCTCACCTCGTGGAGTTGCAATGATCATGAGAACGGTGAGGAATCAGCCCAGAACTACATGGGAGGATCTTGTCAATGATCTCAAGGCAGCTGGGACCATAGTCACCAAGAAAACAATTGGTAACACACTACGCCATGAAGAACTGAAATCCTGCAGCGCCCGCAAGGTCCCCCTGCTCAAGAAAGCACATATACAGGCCCGTTTTAAGTTTGCCAATGAACATCTGAATGATTCAGAGGAGAACTGGGTGAATGTGTTGTGGTCAGATGAGACCAAAATCGAGCTCTTTGCCATCAACTCAACTCGCCGTGTTTGGAGGAGGAGGAATGCTGCCTATGACCCCAAGAACACCATCCCCACCGTCAAACATAGAGGTGGAAACATTATGCTTTGGGGGTGTTTTTCTGCTAAGGGGACAGGACAACTTCACCGCATCAAAGGGTCGATGGACGGGGCCATGTACTGTCAAATCTTGGGTGAGAACCTCCTTCCCTCAGCCAGGGCATTGAAAATGGGTCGTGGATGGGTATTCCAGCATGACAATGACCCAAAACACACGGCCAAGGCAACAAAGGAGTGGCTCAAGAAGAAGCACATTAAGGTCCTTGAGTGGCCTAGCCAGTCTCCAGACCTTAATCCCATAGAAAATCTGTGGAGGGAGCTGAAGGTTCGAGTTGCCAAACGTCAGCCTCGAAACCTTAATGACTTGGAGAAGATCTGCAAAGAGGAGTGGGACAGAATCCCTCCTGAGATGTGTGCAAACCTGGTGGCCAACTACAAGAAATGTCTGACCTCTGTGATTGCCAACAAGGGTTTTGCCACCAAGTACTAAGTCATGTTTTGTAGAGGGGTCAAATACTTATTTCCCTCATTAAAATGCAAATCAATTTATAACATTTTTGACATGCGTTTTTCTGGATTTTTTTGTTGTTATTCTGTCTCACTGTTCAAATAAACCTACCATTATGTGAATGCTGTATATATATATATATTTGTTTAAATCCCAGCCCCCGTCCCCTCAGTAGGCCTTTTGAATTTTGGTAGGCCGTCATTGTAAATAAGAATTTGTTCTTAACTGACTTGCCTAGTTAAATAAAGGTTAAATAAAATAAAATAAAATAAAAATAAACATCTTCGGGGCATGGACTCTACAAGGTGCCGAAAGTATTCCACAGGGATGCTGGCCCATGTTGACTCCAATGCTTCTCACATTTGTGTCAAGTTGGCTGGATATCCTTTGGGTGGTGGACCATTCTTGAGCAAATTTTAGCAAATTCAAAAATGTACCAATGCCATTAACACTATTATTATTTTTTTAATCATTTGACAGCCCTAGATATTTTACTTCCTTCTAGAATGAACTATGGTTTTGGTACAGCTGTATTTTGAGTTGTTATTTTATATTTTAATTTTAGCATGAGGTAGTACTCAAAATCTAATAGACATGATGACAAAATTCCCCAATGATCATTCAACCATCAGAGCAAGAGCTTGACTATAAGGATTTTACAGGCAATTCGATCTGAAAATCTAAAGTCAGCCTGCATGGTTGCGTATGTGTGTGTTCCTGGTGTGTGCTTGTTTGTGTGTACTGCTATTGCTGGCTGTGTCCAGTCAGGGTTGTTCTGTCTACCTGTCTGTCTGCCTGCCTCCTTGACTCTTCCTCTCTGTCTCTGCATCGTCCCCCACTCCCCTTACCCCACCCCACCCCTCTCCATACACCCCTGTTCCTGCTCCTGCACCAACTCTGCCATCTCAGTTGGACCAGGAGACAACCCTTCGACACAAGGAGGTATAGCTCATTGTGCTGATCTGTCCAGAGTTGGAGTCAGTTCCACGTCTATTCCTATCTATTTCTTCAGCAGTTCAAATCAGTTCCGCAATTGACTGGAATTCAGATGGAATTGACTTCAACCCTGGTTCTGTCCCAGTGCTTCGTGACCCACTCAACTGAACAAGTGGCCTCTACCAAAACATCTAGGAAATCTCATGATACTCATTGCAGACTATTGAACATCATGGAACATGGCAATTTATACGTCTCTTAGGATTAGGAGAGAAAGTGCACTGAAGCTCAATTTCTGCTCTAAATGCCTGCATCATCAATGCAATGTCCCTATTGTTGTATGGAGATGCAACACAGATTGCTATGGATTGTCAAGGATACTGAACAACATTCACTTAAACCAGCCTTCGTGTGAATAACAGCATTCACATAAGTCAGCCTTCAATTGATATAATGTAAGATGCATGCAGCTACAGTAGTCAATGAAAATGAATACTAGACAACAAAGAACTAGCTAGCTATTCACTAAGATGATCTATTTGCTCATTCAGAGTTGTTTTAATTTGGTATTTGTTTCATCCTAATAAACAATCCAAATAGATAATAATTTCATTGGCATGGGTTTTAATAGCATCCCAAATGCCATTTTCATCCATAGATGGACTACTGAACGGAATAGAAATGCAATCACATTCGCAGCCCACAAACAAAGCACTTGATCCATGTGCTGAATCCCTGAGTATTAAGACACATTAGTGTAAGTCATTGTGTTTGTGTCTTTTCTTGTGCGCTGCCTACGATATTAATGTCACAGTGGTATATTATTTCAGATCACGTTCCGTTCGACCATGCATAATGCAATTTAATATAATGTGTCAGTGTGATTACTGCAGTGGTAATTTATATGATGTCATACTAATGCATATTACTCTCTCCTCCTCCTCCTCCTCCTCCTCCTCCTCCTCCTCCTCCTCCTCCTCCTCCTCCTCTCCCCGCCCTCTCTCATTCTTTCTATCTATCCCCTTTTATTCTGTACAGTTTTTGGATAAGTCAGAGGATGTCTTACTGAAGCACCAGGCCAGTATCAATGAGCTGAAGAGAGCCCTGAGGGAGCCCAACAGCAAGCTGATGAACCGTGAGAAGCGGCTGTCAGGGACATCTCCAGGCGGCACGCCCGAGAAGAAGGCTGTGAGTGTGGGATGAGGGTGTTGAGGACCTGGGGTCCACTGGAGCAGGGGTGGCGGTTGAGATTCACAACCTTTAACCTATGTACCACCTCTCCACTGTATTCTATGAATATATCACTGATAAGGCTATACTACTCCTGTTTAAACTGCCCTGACATCTGACAGTGAGTCTGTGTGTGACAGCTTTGACATTCCAGTCTTGCATTAAGTTTCCTAACACCTCATACTGTTGACTCCCCTTGAACCCAGTAGGCTTGGAGGTCAAGACTGGAGTACATGTTTCTCTCCATTATCCATAGGGAAACCGTCACTACTCTGGCTTCGTGTGCTTTGTCATCTAATGGAATATTGTTAACCTGAATATTTACAGTCTGTTATAAAACCAAGAACTGACTTTTGAGGACAATAATATTTCTTCAAGGTATTGTAGGTGGTTATTTATTGTAGATATATACTGCTGCAGACTCAGACGCTACCTATTGGATAGTGTGATGGTAGTGCTAAAAGAGATCATAAGAACACATTTATTTAGAAAAATAACCTGGAAAATGGTTCTGCATTTATCATTAGAGATGGGTGTTTGTGGCAATATCTCAGTTTTATTTAAAGATGGTTGAAAAGTGATTCTGCAATAACTTGAAGAGATTATGTGAGGCCCTCGAGGAGCAATCATATCTAGCGTCTTCCCACCTTGATTGCCTGACAGTTAAAATGCTTCCCTTTGTGTCAGAACACAAACACCCATGCTGCTTTGATCACTTTCACATTGTGATTGTACTGTTAAGATACAGTAGTAAGATAGTACTCTCCAGTCTAGCTCTGTCAATGCAGTCTGTTTCCAGGTATTTTTGTAGTCTACGGAAGCTTTCTCATCTGCTGCCTGAGAACAATCGGATTATAGCCGTGGAGAATATCATCAGACATCCTTAAAGGCATGACAAGTTGATCTGTCATGTACCTACATAGATCTGAGGGAGAGATGCTAAAGTCCTGAATGAATAATGACAAAGTGTGGCCTGAGAAATCTCTATCTTGGAGGATTCCCACTTCTCAGAAAGATTCAGAGGAAATCATAAAGCCTTTGATGTAGTTGCAAATGTTATTTTTGCATTGCAAATACCTCCTCATTTGCTTATGCAGATTTGGCAGCCGCAGTATGCAGGTGGAAGCTAACTAGGCCCATGTTGCTCATTTGCAATAATCTCATTATTTGATTCAAGATTTCATCTTGATTGGCTCATAGATTTCAGCTCAGACTTCAATTCAGGAGAGACGTACAGTATGTTTGTAAAGTCCCTTGTCTCCCTAGCCCATTGAATCAACATTTCTTCCCCCTTTCTACCAGTCTCTTTCCTTTAACCATTTTCCCTTCTTGCATGAAATTACTTAAATTTAAATAGTATGCTGTGACAAAGAGCCCTACAGTTGGTCTCTCTCCTTGTCACAAGAGTGACAGAGTTAGGGCTCCTCTAATAGCTGTTCTCCTCCCTCTCTCTTCCCCCTCCACCCCTCTCCTGGTGGGAAATGCTCGGTCCCCCATCAGGTGGTGGGCAAGGAACTAGTAAACAGCTTCTCTGTAGAGGGCTTCGTCCAGAAGACTGTGGTGACTTCCCCAGAGGTTTCCCTTCACTTCCTCCTCCTCTCTCTTCTAATGTCTGCCTTATAACTGACTGTACTGTAGTTTACCATTTATCTGTAGTGAAACTGTGGCCCATACCATTTTATATACATACTGCACACTCAGCTACAGCTGATATCTCTTACATCTTGTTTTATCTGATCTGCTGCAGTCATTGTGTCTGAGAAAATTTTAAGAAATGCAATAACCAACATGTACAGTGGGGAGAACAAGTATTAGATACACTGCCAATTTTGCAGGTTTTCCTACTTACAAAGCATGTAGAGGTCTGTAATTTTTATCATAGGTACACTTCAACTGTGAGAGACGGAATCTAAAACAAAAATCCAGAAAATCACATTGTATGATTTTTAAGTAATTAATTTGCATTTTATTGCATGACATAAGTATTTGATCACCTACCAATCAGTAAGAATTCCGGCTCTCACAGACCTGTTAGTTTTTCTTTAAGAAGCCCTCCTGTTCTCCACTCATTACCTGTATTAACTGCACCTGTTTGAACTCGTTACCTGTATAAAAGACACCTGTCCACACACTCAATCAAACAGACTCCAACCTCTCCACAATGGCCAAGACCAGAGAGCTGTGTAAGGACATCAGGGATGAAATTGTAGACCTGCACAAGGCTTGGATGGGCTACAGGACAATAGGCAAGTAGCTTGGTGAGAAGGCAACAACTGTTGGCGCAATTATTAGAAAATGGAAGAAGTTCAAGATGACGGTCAATCACCCTCGGTCTGGGGCTCCATGCAAAATCTCACCTCGTGGGGCATCAATGATCATGAGGAAGGTGAGGGATCAGCCCAGAACTACACGGCAGGACCTGGTCAATGACCTGAAGAGAGCTGGGACGACAGTCTCAAAGAAAACCATTAGTAACACACTACGCCGTCATGGATTAAAATCCTGCAGCGCACGCAAGGTCCCCCTGCTCAAGCCAGCGCATGTCCAGGTCCGTCTGAAGTTTGCCAATGACCATCTGGATGATCCAGAGGAGGAATGGGAGAAGGTCATGTGGTCTGATGAGGATGAGTACAACCCCAAGAACACCATCCCAACCGTGAAGCATGGAGGTGGAAACATCATTCTTTGGGGATGCTTTTCTGTAAAGGGGACAGGACAACTGCACCGTATTGAGGGGAGGATGGATGGGGCCATGTATCGTGAGATCTTGGCCAACAACCTCCTTCCCTCAGTAAGAGCATTGAAGATGGGTCGTGGCTGGGTCTTCCAGCATGACAACGACCCGAAACACACAGTCAGGGCAACTAAGGAGTGGCTCCATAAGAAGCATCTCAAGGTCTTGGAGTGGCCTAGCCAGTCTCCAGACCTGAACCCAATAGAAAATCTTTGGAGGGAGCTGAAAGTCCGTTATTGCCCAGCGACAGCCCCGAAACCTGAAGGATCTGGAGAAGGTCTGTATGGAGGAGTGGGCCAAAATCCCTGCTGCAGTGTGTGCAAACCTGGTCAAGACCTACAGGAAACGTATGATCTCTGTAATTGCAAACAAAGGTTTCTGTACCAAATATTAAGTTCTGCTTTTCTGATGTATCAAATACTTATGTCATGCAATAAAATGCAAATTTATTACTTAAAAATCATACAATGTGATTTTCTAAGATTCCGTCTCTCACAGTTGAAGTGTACCTATGATAAAAAATTACAGACCTCTACATGCTTTGTAAGTAGGAAAACCTGCAAAATCGGCAGTGTATGAAATACTTGTTCTCCCCACTGTAGGTCTACATTTGGATGCAAATGTATACATTTCTATGTATGATTGCAGCAATTGGGGTGGAAATCAATTACAGTCTATAAGCATGCACTTACCATCTACATACAGTATCTCACAAAAGTGAGTACACCCCTCACATTTTTGTCAACATTTGAGTATATCTTTTCATGTGACAACACTGAAGAAATGACACTTTGCTACAATGGAAAGTAGTGAGTGTACAGCTTGTACACTCACTACATAACAGGGCCCCGTGTAGCTCAGTTGGTAGAGCATGGCGCTTGCAACGCCAGGGTTGTGGGTTCGTTTCCCACGGGGGGCCAGTATGAAAAAAATAAAAATAAATGTATGCACTCACTAACTGTAAATCGCTCTGGATAAGAGCGTCTGCTAAATGACTAAAATGTAAATGTAAATGTAAATTTCCTGTCCCCTCAAAATAACTCAACACACAGCCATTAATGTCTAAACGTGGTCCTCTGTAGCTCAATTGGTAGAGCATGGCGCTTGTAACGCCAGGGTAGTGGGTTTGATCCCCGGGACCACCCATACGTAAAAATGTATGCACACATGACTGTAAGTCGCTTTGGATAAAAGCATCTGCTAATTGGCATAGTATTATTATTATTATTATTATTATAAACCGCTAGCAACAAAAGTGAGTACACCCCTAAGTGAAAATGTCCAAATTGGGCCCAATTAGCCATTTTCCCTCCCCGGTGTCATGTGACTCGTTAGTGTTACAAGGTCTCAGGTGTGAATGGGGAGCAGGTGTGTTAAATTTGGTGTCATCGCTCTCACACTCCCTCATACTGGTCACTGGAAGTTCAACATGGCACCTCATGGCAAAGAACTCTCTGAGGATCTGAAAAAAAGAATTGTTGCTCTACATAAAGATGGCCTGGGCTATAAGAAGATTGCCAAGACCCTGAAACTGAGCTGCAGCACGGTGGCCAAGACCATACAGCGGTTTAACAGGACAGGTTCCACTCAGAACAGGCCTCGCCATGGTCGACCAAATAAGTTGAGTGCACGTACTCAGCGTCATATCCAGAGGTTGTCTTTGGGAAATAGACGTATGAGTGCTGCCAGCATTGCTGCAGAGGTTGAAGGGGTGGGGGTCAGCCTGTCAGTGCTCAGACCATACGCCTCACACTGCATCAAATTGGTCTGCATGGCTGTCGTCCCAGAAGGAAGCCTCTTCTAAAGATGATGCACAAGAAAGCCCGCAAACAGTTTGCTGAAGATAAGCAGACTAAGGACATGGATTACTGGAACCATGTCCTGTGGTCTGATGAGACCAAGATAAACTTATTTGGTTCAGATGGTGTCAAGCGTGTGTGGCGGCAACCAGGTGAGGAGTACAAAGACAAGTGTGTCTTGCCTACAGTCAAGCATGGTGGTGGGAGTGTCATGGTCTGGGGCTGCATGAGTGCTGCCGGCACTGGGGAGCTACAGTTCATTGAGGGAACCATGAATGCCAACATGTACTGTGACATACTGAAGCAGAGCATGATCCCCTCCCTTCGGAGACTGGGCCGCAGGGCAGTATTCCAACATGATAACTACCCCAAACACACCTCCAAGACGACCACTGCCTTGCTAAAGAAGCTGAGGGTAAAGGTGATGGACTGGCCAAGCATGTCTCCAGACCAAAACCCTACTGAGCATCTGTGGGGCATCCTCAAACGGAAGGTTGAGGAGTGCAAGGTCTCTAACATCCACCAGCTCCATGATGTTGTCATGGAGGAGTGGAAGAAGACTCCAGTGGCAACCTATGAAGCTCTGGTGAACTTCATGCCCAAGAGGGTTAAGGCAGTGCTGGAAAATGATGGTGGCCACACAAAATATTGACACTTTGGGCCCAATTTGGACATTTTCACTTAGGGGTGTACTCACTTTTGTTGCCAGCGGTTTAGACATTAATGGCTGTGTGTTGAGTTATTTTGAGGGGACAGCAAATTTACACTGTTATACAAGCTGTACACTCACTACTTTACATTGTAGCAAAGTGTCATTTCTTCAGTGTTGTCACATGAAAAGATATACTCAAATATTTACAAAAATGTGAGGGGTGTACTCACTTTTGTGAGATACTGTAGATTGAGAGGATTGTAGAGGTTCTATTTGTACTATAACAACACAATACTGTACTGTAGCTGTTAACCTACATTATGTTACAATTCAGTTGGCGCCTCTAACTGTGTTTAATCTATATCAACATGTAGGGCTCTGAGGAGTGGGTATTGATTGAGAAACAAGACACTTATCAACAGGACAATGACTGGAAGGCAGAGGAACAGAACAAGGCTTCCACCTCACCTCCCCCATTAGTCCCTAATTCCTCTTGGGAAAGAAAGAAAGAACTGGAAAAAGACATAGACGTAGCCAAGATGATTCATATTGAGGTTAGAGGGGAGGATGGGCAAGAAATGAGAACAGATATTGATAACTTTCCATCGCCCAAAGCCACAAGGGAATCCCAGGATGAATGTTCTGAACCGCGGCTGACTAGCAACAGCCGGTTTGTGGTGGAATTAGCTGAAACCACAGAATCTTCTGAAGATGATTCGCAGTGGAAAGTACCTCCAGCAGAACACTCTGGTGCAAGGAATGACATATTCCCAGTCCCAGTCTCAGTCCCAGACCCAGTCTTAACCCCAGTCCCATTCCGAGACTCTAAGAAGGATCATCAACCCAACAGACACAGAAAAAATAAGAGACCTAATAGTTTAAACCTGGGAATGTCAACAGAATTAATCTATGAGAAAGAGGGTGAAGTCTCAAATGGCGAAGAAGACAACGGGGGATCAGACTGGGAGGATAGTCCAACAGAGAAGACAAAGGCGGGACAAATAGATCACCCTGAAGACAGTGTTTCCAGAGAGGAGCCAGACGACCAGTGTTGGGTGACTAGTCCACTGATGAAAGATGAGGAGAGATCACCAGAGGCTAAATGGAAGGAGACAGTGGTGTTTGAGTATGAAGATAACAAGAAGGACCACAGTACATCAGTAGGAGAAGACAAGGCAACTCAGGGAAGTGCTGTGGATGATCCTGCAGGGTGTGATGGAAGGGACCAGGTTAAGAGCTTCATCACTGAGGTCCAGCAAGCAGGCAAAGGGCTAGGCTCTGTCAATGGTCCTGGGAAAACAGAATGTGATAGTTTAGCAGAACAGGTTAGAGAACCGGTTAAAGGGTTTCATCTCAGAGAGAGATGCATGACTGACAATAGAGAACACATAGAAGAGGTCAAGCTGAGGGAGGTCAAGACACACGAGAGAAAAGCCAGTAACTCTGGGGGGGAGGAAGTGGAAGGTCTCATGTCAGAGGTCAGGGGTCAGAGAAGGTCTTTAGAGAGACTATCAGGCAGCAGTCAGTCAGAAATCACCAGGATCGTTCCGCTCAAACCTGAAAGGTCAAAGAGCTTAGTATGCAAAGATGAGCAGGACAGAGGGAGTCAGGACACTGAGTCTGAGCTGAGTGGAGTTTTTAGAAGAGAGTACAGATGGTCAGGAGGTTCATCAGAGGGACCTTCAGACATCAACTGGAACAACGAGTCCACCTTCTATCAAACATCCACCCTGCCTACGTCATTCATCTCAACCAACGCTAGTCCAGCAAGACGGACCCATTCCCAGACCATTACACACAGAGACGCCCCACAGGAACAGGGCAGCTTCTGGGGTCTGGAAGGCTTGGCAAGAGTCGAGTCTAAAACTGAAGAGCTGGTTCAGCAACAGAGCAGCGCTGCCCGTGACGATCACTTTCAGACGTCATTCATCTCAACCAACGCTAGTCCAGCAAGACGGACGCACTCCCCGACTATGACAAACAGAGACGCCCCACAGGAACAGGGCAGCTTCTGGGGTCTGGAAGGCTTGGTAAGAGTCGAGGCTAAAACTGAAGAGCTGGTTCAGCAACAGAGCAGCGCTTCCTGTGATGATCCCTTTCAGGCTGCTAGAGAAGCCATAGAGAGTCATCAGTTGCTCAGTTTTAAGGCCTCAGCTACAGCTCCAGCCTCAGCGCTCCCCAGGACAGCTCCTCCTGCCCCTCCAGTGAAAACACAGAAGGCCAGAGAGTCTGGACTCATACTCCGGAATATCAACCGCAATGTTAGCAGGGAGCCTGGCCTGGACGCAACCAAGAAGAGACATTCGGTAACTCTGCTTGGCATCTGCTTTTCAATCATTTGGAAACAAAAAGCATCGCATGAGCTTCAGACAGAGTCGCACACTCCCATTTTCTTATTTTCCTGTTTTCAGTGACTTGAATATACATACATGTAACTTATACGTGCCTGTATATGAAGAAGGGGGTGGAATTTTAGTTTTGACACACTTGTTTTGGCTTTGTCTCATTGGCTGATGCAGCCAACAATGCATTTTGTCTGCTATGAGTTTGGACCTTCTCCCTTTCGGCCTCTCCATTTAGACCCCCTCCTCCTCTCTGCCTCTCTGCCTCCCTCCACCCTTATTCTCACACTTCACAGCAAACTTGAAACACAACTGCTTGCAAATCTGTAGGAATCACTACAGGGCTGTGGTAGAGATTGTCAAAAAGACAAAAACAACTTTTCATGCTTTGGCTCATGGCTTCTATCCCCCCTCTCTTCACATTTGAACCTTGATTTTCCTTCCAACTAACCTTGTAGCAAGTCTCCTCTTTTGCAGAGGGTTGCAAGGAAACAAAGGTTCGTGCATATTGCCATGGCTCTGAGTTTTTTTTGCACTTCTCTTCCATGCTGTTTCCAAGCTGACATGTGGAGGAAGGCATGGACTTCAGACATGGTTTCATACATGTTTTACAGTTCAATTGACTGTGACAGGAACTGTGTGAGGAAATGAGAGAAACGTGTCGTTATCACCCATAAAGGCACTATATGCTACAGATATGCTCATCAGTCAAATGCCGGCAATTAATCTCCTGACCTCATGGATACTTGTTATAGAAAGTCACGTATGATACCAACTCAGTAGTTTGCATAATGTCGTGTAGATGAGAAAATAGTTTGTGATTTCAAATGATCAACTTCATTAACATGACAATGAATGACATGAGCATTGAGCTAAATGTGGCTTACGGTACCTTATTGGGTGATGATAATTTATAAACCAAATTAAATTCTTTACAAGGATCACACGTTGGATGCTATAACGCTTTCTTGTAAAGCAAAGAACCCACCCAGACTGTGAAGAAAGAGGCAGGAAACAAGCTGTCTGGTAGCAATGCCCAAGCTGCTGTACCTACACAGACAGACTAGCTCTCAGTAAGATGTTGCCACATACATTTTACAGTTTGTGTCATTAGGAGCTTGCACGTATTTGGCAGTGGAATGAAAATAATTTAAAATTAGGCCTGGGACCTGACAGCTTAAATCATTTTCAGTCTTTCATCTGAGTCTAGGTCATGGACACATTGGCACGACCAGGCATGGAAAGAGGTGTGAAAAACAGCATGTGAGAGCACCAGCCATTCTATATACTGGGTGTGCAAGAACAGAATCTTTGGCCATTTGAACATTTGAGCCTCATAAAAAAATTCAGTCTGCGTGGTTTGCAGCATTCTCTGATTCTGTCCTTGGCCAATGATTGGCTGTTGCAATGCTGCTATGGCTGTTCTAGACTACCATATCTTACAAGCTGTCCATAATTATACTTTTGTATGACACTCTAGTTTATACTAATTCAAACCAGGACAACTGGCTTTACCTGGTGGGTTCATCAGGGTTGGCCTCAATTATAATAGAAGGCAGTGAAATCAGGAAGTAAACTAAAATTACAATTCAATCATAAAAATAAAAATAAATGTCTCAATAAACTGAAAAGTAGAAGCTATTTATTTCAAATGGTTTTACATGTCTGAATTTTGAATTCAAATCACTTCCTGAATTGACTGCCTTCAATTCGAATTGAGCCCAACCCTTGGGTTAATTTATCTTGTCCAAACTGGTAGTAAGCTTACTTGTTTTCTGTACTCATGAATAGATGGAACGGGGGGAACTTCCCTTCTATGTTAGAACCGTGCTGTTCTGTTGTTCTGATGCTCTGTTAGTAGAGACCAAGTCTCTCTACTGATGTCTACACTCTTAGAAATAAAGGCGCTATATAGAACTTGAAAGGGTTCTTCGGCTGTCCCCATAGGATAACCCTTTGAAGAACCCTTTTTGGTTCCAAGCAGAACCCTTTTGGGTTCCATGTTGAACCCTTCCACACAGGGTTTTACATGGACCCAAAGTGGTTCTACTTGGAACCAAAAAGGGTTCTCCTATGGGGACAGCACTTTTGGAACCCTTTTTTCTAAGAGCGTAGTAGTCTGTCTCTCCAGCTTGGACTAACCTCTGGCTGCTCGCCCTCTTCCTATGCTCTCCTCTTTCTCTGCTCTCTCTCTTCCTCTGCTCTCTCTCTTCCTCTGCTCTCCTCTTTCTCTGCTCTCTCTCTTCCTCTGCTCTCTCTCTTCCTCTGCTCTCCTCTTCCTCTGCCCTCTCTCTTTCTCTGCTCTCCCTCTTTCTCTGCTCTCCCTCTTCCTCTGCTCTCTCTCTTCCTCTGCTCTCTCTCTTCTTCTGCTCTCTCTCTTCCTCTGCTCTCTCTCTTCCTCTGCTCTCCCTCTTCCTCTGCTCTCTCTTCCTCTGCTCTCCCTCTCCCTCTTCCTCTGCTCTCCCTCTTCCTCTGCTATCTCTTCCTCTGCTCTCTCTTCCTCTGCTCTCTCTCTTCCTCTGCTCTCTCTCTTTCTCTGCTCTCTCTCTCTTCCTCTGCTCTCTCTCTTCCTCTGCTCTCCCTCTGCAGGAGCCGCTCTTCACTCCTGCCATCTATGAAGATACATTAGATGATGCTAAGGTCACTTTACATTATGCATTTAACCACATGCCTCCCCATGTTCCCATTTTTGCACTCTTTCTTGTGATAGATCAGTCCCTCACTCCCTCATCCATCCCAATCTCCCTCACCGTCATCAATGGGTAACTTTATGCATGCTGCCCATATGACAGAGGCTGAACCGTGACTATGCCACATGCGTTTTAACCTCATTCCTGTTTGTAAGGCTTCTCCATTCATCTTCTCTCTTCTCCATATAGGCCAATACTATGTGTAACAAATTGCATGCTTGGAGAAGATAAAGTCTTTATGATCATGTATGCATGTGTAACATGTACTGTATAATGGTCTTGAGCAAAGATCCTACATGAATACTTCTACACACCCCCAGGAGACATATTCCCTTCTAGAGGATAATTTAACCTCCTGTCATCATCATCATCATCATCATCACCCCTTTCATGGTCACTCCCTGCCCTGAGCAGACGCCAGACTGGCCCTGTGTTGTGATGGCCATCTTTGTGTAATCCCCTCTCTCACCCAGAGGGAACCCTGGGAGAGGAGGCCTCTGCCGGGCTCCGCCTCAGAGGAGGACCACGAGCGTGACATGGTGGTCTGCATGAAAGAGACCCACCTGGGCATCGAGAGGAAGTGCTCCAGCATGACGGTCAGCTCCACGTCCAGCCTGGAGGCTGAGGTGGACTTCACCGTCATCATGGACCTCCACATGGGCGTGGAGGAGTTCTCCAAGAGCATGTCTAAGCTGGGGGAGCTGGGGGAGCGGCTGCCCGAAGTGGGCCGGGACGACTTTGAGGAGACCTCCAGGTTCTATTCAGCCCGTCTCATGGTCTCCCATGACATGTCCCCTGTAGAGGAGATGCCTCCTGTGCACCATGAGGAAGGTGTTCACCATGAGGTAGACACAGACATACTGTACCCCATCCCTTATCATTGCAACTCCCTACTTCTAAAGGCCGGAACTGCCCTGCTAGGGACGCCTGCCCTTATAAATTAAATCACCCGTCACCTTTTCTGTTGGACCGTTTTCAGTTACCATTTAGGTAATTTTTTGTCAATGTTTTAACTTTTAGGTTTACATGTTATAAAATTATTGGTAATATATTTTTGCTTCATCTTTAGATTTTGTTTATTCATTTTCCTATGGTTTATCCATTTGCTTCTGCTGTTTTTTGTTTTACATTATTGTGCAGTGTGTACGTTTCCTTGTATGTTCCCTTCTATTGTAAATCATGCTTTCTTTACTAAATGTTTGGTCTGAAATAAGTTATATACAATCACCAATTGATACTGTAGTATGGGCATACTTGTATTGTTTCATTGTCATTTTGAAAAGTATTGTAATCTTTGAATAAGAAATGTATTGTAGTTGACCTAAGGATAAGCATGTTCAGTACCATGTCGAAGCCAGCATGTATTTGACAGAATATACCGTACTCAGACATCTGTTTTGACCATGTAAATTAGATTAAAATATGATGGATTTTCATGTGTCTCAAAAGACATTCAGCAACCCAAAATGCTTCCCATATATAAACCTATAAAAACGACACACTGTGGGGGTCAATTTCAGGCCATTTGTTGACAGTTTGTTTACTGTCAGGGAATATTGATGAAGTTAGAGAACAATAGTATGTCTATGTTCCATCTATGTAGTCTCACTGTACCTGTCTGTCTCGCCCTGCTGCAGCCCACGGTAGCCAGGAAAGACCCCAGTGCTGTTAGCGCTGCCCAGATGCTGAGGAAGGCCGACGTCAAGATGGAGACACACACCAATGGGTCAGAGGTCACCAGCACCGACTTCATGGACATGTCCCAGCAGGTACACTACATCAGTCTATGCCTATGGACTCACATCTGTCCCCCTGTGTTTGGTGGATGATTCAGCCTGGTACAGTAGTCTCATCTGTTTGTGCTCCAGCCAAGTCCTCTGCCAACAAACATGACAGAGGACTTGGCTAAAGCACAAACAGATCTACTTCCAGTGCTAGTGCATACTAATGAGGGTGCATACTAGTGAGGGTGCATACTAATGATCAAATTACAAATGTAGAAGTGGGGCCTAAATAGTCTGAACAAAACATGTCTGAAATGATCTTGAGCAGGAAATGGAAACATTTGGTGAATAAGACAATAGTAGGACCATTATAGAGTCGTTTTGACCCCATCAACCTGCCATTTAGTTTAATATTTTTGTACACAGAGGAAATGGAATGAGTCATTTAAAAAAGAGGAGTAGCCTATACCCATTTATGTATGCAGTCTATGTAGGGCAGGCTCCAGAACGAATCCGTTGGACAGGCATTTGATTTCCATAGGGGGGCACGTTTCAATAAATTGTATTTGTGGAGTGCCTTTGTTATAACTATGAAACAGAAAGCATTGATGTTGGAACCCGGTATAAGCTTCTTTTTATAACGACAACATAAAAATAAATACCCCAACCACCAAGACGCACAGTCAGCAAGATGCATGGTCAAATGACTAAAACATCAGTAGCCTAAACATCATTACAAGCGCCAAGTCTGCTTGATAATAGTGAAAATCATCACAAAAGCAACAATGGCATTATGAATATAAGTGTTGATATGGCAGCAGTCAAAATGTCAATTATCAGTTGGTACATGTCCATGTCACATAGCCTAAACAACGAAAGCTGTTGAGTGCATTCCTGATTTGATTTATTGCTTGAGATGTAGGGCCTGCTCCCTTAGTGATTACATTTTATGCTGATAATAGCCTGTAGAATTCTCACCGGCTTGTTTTATTCTAAATGGTGGAGTCCTCTCTCCTCTCCCACCGTTTCATTTGGTGGCGGCGCCGGGACCTGCTACATGCGCACAGTGCACTTAGGCCTCGCAGGTGTAAATTCAGATTGAGGCTCAGAATCAGAAGAATACTCATCAGAGATGTCATCATGATTCATTTCTTCCCCACCATCGGAGTCATTTTCATTCAGATTTTGTAGCAACGCTAACGAGTGAATCCATTCGTCTTGGTCTTCTTGCCATTGTAAATTACGCAAGCTCTCAATGTGTACTCCAAGTAGGCCAGAGTAGACTGATAGAGTACAAACCATTTTGAGATTATAATTAGAATAGATCAATACAATATAATGACCGCCATGTTCTTCATTCACAATAAGTGATTACATAATTATGCATCGTTGCTTCCCCTAGCTCATCAACTCATCCATGCTCCCCCATCATACTTTAGCCTACTTCAGTTGTTTCATCTGTTATTATATGTGTTAAATTAGTTTCGGTATAGTTTAGGTTAACTATCGAGGCAATTATCGGGGTGATTTGGGCACAGCATCTTCAACTATCGCGAGAAGGAGGGGAGCAGGTCCTACTGTCGAGAGGGGCAACGGGGAAAACCATATAAAAAATGACATGCCCACCTACAGTGAGGGAATTAAGGATTTGATCCCCTGCTGATTTTGTACGTTTGCCCACTGACAAAGACATGATCCGTCTATAATTTTAATGGTAGGTTTATTTGAACAGTGAGAGACAGAATAACAACAACAAAAAATCCAGCAAAACGCATGTCAAAAATTTTATAAATTTATTTTCATTTTAATGAGGGAAATAAGTATTTGACCCCTCTGCAAAACATGACTTAGTACTTGGTGGCAAAACCCTTGTTGGCAATCACAGAGGTCAGACGTTTCTTGTAGTTGGCCACCAGGTTTACACACATCTCAGGAGGGATTTTGTCCCACTCCTCTTTGCAGATCTTCTCCAAGTCATTAAGGTTTCGAGGCTGACGTTTGGCAACTCAAACCTTCAGCTCCCTCCACAGATTTTCTATGGGATTAAGGTCTGGAGACTGGCTAGGCCACTCCAGGACCTTAATGTGCTTCTTCTTGAGCCACTCCTTTGTTGCCTTGGCCGTGTGTTTTGGGTCATTGTCATGCTGAAATACCCATCCACGACCCATTTTCAATGCCCTGGCTGAGGGAAGGAGGTTCTCACCCAAGATTTGACGGTACATGGCCCCGTCCATCATCCCTTTGATGTGGTGAAGTTGTCCTGTCCCCTTAGCAGAAAAACACCCCCAAAGCATAATGTTTCCACCTCCATGTTTGACGGTGGGGATGGTGTTCTTGGGGTCATAGGCAGCATTCCTCCTCCTCCAAACACGGCGAGTTGAGTTGATGCCAAAGAGCTCGATTTTAGTCTCATCTGACCACAACACTTTCACCCAGTTCTCCTCTGAATCATTCAGATGTTCATTGGCAAACTTCAGACGGGCCTGTATATGTGCTTTCTTGAGCAGGGGGACCTTGCGGGCGCTGCAGATTTTCAGTCCTTCACGGCATAGTGTGTTACCTATTGTTTTCTTGGTGACTATGGTCCCAGCTGCCTTGAGATCATTGACAAGATCCTCCCGTGTAGTTCTGGGCTGATTCCTCACCGTTCTCATGATCATTGCAACTCCACGAGGTGAGATCTTGCATGGAGCCCCAGGCCGAGGGAGATTGACAGTTCTTTTGTGTTTCTTCCATTTGCGAATAATCGCACCAACTGTTGTCACCTTCTCACCAAGCTGCTTGGCGATGGTCTTGTAGCCCATTCCAGCCTTGTGTAGGTCTACAATCTTGTCCCTGACAAACTTGGAGAGCTCTTTGGTCTTGGCCATGATGGAGAGTTTGGAATCTGATTGATTGATTGCTTCTGTGGACAGGTTTAAGAGTGTGCTCCTAATCTCAGCCAGCTCGTTACCTGTATAAAAGACACCTGGGAGCCAGAAATCTTTCTGTTTGAGAGGGTGTCAAATACTTATTTCCCTCATTAAAATGCAAAATCAATTTATAAATCAATGCGTTTTTTCTGGATTTTTTTGTTGTTATTCTGTCTCTCACTGTTCAAATAAACCTACCATTAAAATTATAGACTGATCATTTCTTTGTCAGTGGGCAAACGTACAAAATCAGCAGGGGATCAAATACTTTTTTCCCACACTGTAAAACTGTCTATAACACCAGTTCTATTTTTGATACTAAGATTCTAACAGTGTGTATTATAGACTTATTTAGGAAAAGTCAAGGACGGAGGGGGGGCATTACTTCCAAAATGGCAGAGTAATAAATTGTTTTAATTGAGCAGTCCAAATGACTGCTTTAGTGGTTCTGTTGTGGGTTTTATAGTAACAACATGTAATTTAATTATACAAATGTATTAGCCTGCCTTTTAATGTGGCATGCACACAACTAGTCAGGATATTTTCATCTGATTGTAAAACGAATCACTTCAAACAGTAGGTTACCTTCGCATGTTAGTCCAAAAATTGCCTCAGATCGGCTGAAACAGCGCCCTTCTGTCTTACAATATGTAGCCTCATGTATCTGATGCGGTCTGGCACATACTGAGACAGAGAAGCGCTGTTTCGCTTGTTCGGATGCTTTATCTGACAATGATGGTTCTTTCTGTCGGCGTGCGTCTCGGTCAAATACATCAATATTTTAATATTTTATTTGGACGGGCAAGGAGGTATGGTAGGGCGGGCCAGGAGTTACGTTAGGGCAGGCCAGCCCCCCTAAGACCTGCCCATAACGCCGGCCCTGAGTCTATGGTATATCCTAATATAGATTAGCCTTTTTCTCTTCATATCTCTACAGATCTTGATTAGACTGAGTGCCTTATTCTCACGACCACAATGACATAATAGCATCATTATGGAGGGATTAAAGTATTGACAGGAAATTAACGAGAATGATGAAAGCATGCGGGAGCTCCATTCATCTCTAGTCTGAGCATGAAGCTGTGGCAGCCCCAACAGGTGCCTGATTAAAATGTAATTAGTTCCTCTCTGGTGTGCCATTCATCTAATGACGAGGATGAGCTGTGTCAGTGATCTGGAGAGGGTGCCTTTGAAGTGGAAACTCAAGTCAAAGTTTTCACTTATCAGTGAAGAAAATAAAAATAAAAATAAAAATGTATGCACTCACTAACTGTAAGTTGCTCTGGATAAGAGCGTCTGCTAAATGACTAAAATGTCAAATGTAAAGACGTGCTAAGCATGGCAATAGAATGACTAGAATAGGTGGACAGTCTAATAGATAACAGATGGATATTTCTATGGTGTAGAGCCTCTTGGGCAGATGTGCTCTTGATTTGTAGTAAGCCACGATACAGTAGCGTTTGTATGTGTGTGTGTGTGTGTGTGTGTGTGTGTGTGTATCTGCAGCAAATGGAGACTGACGTCAACTGTAATGACACGAAGGTCTCCAGCAGCACTGATGTGGCTCAGCCACCAGAGGGCGACCTGGTATGTGTCAGTACCTCTTGAAAACAGCAGAAAGGCTGGAAGGCTATGCTATGCTTGCTCTGGCTGCAGTCTGATTCTCTGCTGTACATTCTCAACCCTTCTCCCTGAACCACACACTCATTAACTCCCCGTGATGGATTTGACAGGAACTGGACTGGTGTAAACAGGGTATAGAGAATTGCTCTAATCTGCCATGGCAGGTTTTGAATGTGCAAATAATGGGCTGCAAGTTTAGAGAGTATATTTTACCAGATTGTGGCCAGATTGTTTAGTTTTTTGTCATGATATGATATTGCCTCACAATATTTGCATGTGCATCCTTTTAAAAGAAGCTTGTTAAAATGAAGACTTCTCCCCCCTTCTCAACCGTGCAGAGCTCACTAGTTTGTGTCATACTGCTACCCCATAATCGGCTTGTGTTTTCTATGGCACTTAAAGGGGTAATCTGCAGTTGCTACATCCATGTTTGGACTTATAAATTAATGATATGTACCCATTGATTCTTGAAGAATATAACATATAAAAATGCCTCAGGAGCTTAGTTCAACTGTTGTCCCCCATCAGAACCCCAAAGATAAGCTTGTTTTACTCCAATGTTTGTAAATAAAGTAAATGTAAATAAACACTATATAGCCTCAAAACATGGTTAAAACAATCATGTTTTTATCATTGATGGTCAGTCCTTGCATTCATTGCTCTGTCTATGAATTTGAGAGTGGTTACATTTCTCCAGCCCCATCTATCAGCTTTTTACCGAAACGGGCAGACAGCACACTTTGTTATTGTTCAACTGCTGATTGCCACTTTAATGTTTAAATTAACTCCAATTTGTATCACAGTGCCAACATACATGCTGTTTTGATAATTACAGGAGGATCTGTTGAGTTGAACTTCACTAGTTGGTACATAACCATGTTGATACCATACTTCTGTAAGGCGGCAGGTAGCCTAGCGGTTAAGACTGTTGGGCCAAATCCCCGAGCCGACTAGGTCAGAAATCTGTCGTTGTGCCCTTGAGCAAGGCACTTAACCCTAATTGCTCCTGTAAGTCGCTCTGGATAAGAGCGTCTGCTAAATGACTAAAATGTCAAATGTAGATTTGAATTTAGTTCAACTACCACCAAGCTACTGCAAAATGTAGTTAAATTACTAGTTGAACTACATGTAGTTCACTACTCCCAACATGCTGTTTTGATCATGACAGGAGGGGTTATGCTACACTTCTGCTTGGCTGCCTATTGGTTTATAACTTGGTTTTCTGCTTGGCTGCCTATTGTTTTATAACTTGGCTTATAGGTTCATCCTAATACCTTGCTTCTGATTCCCTACAGTCAGGCTTGAGGACTGTATGTCCCCATATGGACACATTGCTCTTCTACCAGATCAGTTTAATCTGCATGAACATGATGACTTCATCCCTTCATCCATGTGACGTTTCCTCTCCTCCCTCTCATCATCCCTCTCTTGATCCCAGAACCAGAACCAGGGAGTTGGCAGTAGGAAGGAGGCTCCTCTCCCTAGTAAAGAAAATGGCTCCCCTGTAAGTACCTAGTTCACCTCACCATTCATCCCCTCCCCTCACTCAATAGACTGACTATATTACTGTACTACTCTGACTCCAAGCATTCAGTCCTACAGTATGACAGAGCACAGCATGGCCCCCATGTAGCTGTTGTTTTATTGAGAGAGAGGTGGGAAAAGATTTGGTTGTATTTTGGCTGGGCTAGTGTGTGTGTGTGTGTCTGTGTCTGTGTCTGTGCCTGCGTTAAATTGGGAATTCAGAAGTGGGGGAACATTATTTGGAGGGGTAAGGGTTTAGCCGGGATTGAACATAAAGCTAGGGTTAGGTTATACCAAGATTTGTATGTTTAATGTTATATCTGGCCTATGCCATGTCGCTCACCCTATTACAGTGCATTTTGTTGTACGTAAACAAATATCTGTGAAAATCAGACATTAAAGAAATATCTAATACATTGCTCAAAAAAATAAAGGGAACACTAAAATAACACATCCTAGATCTGAATGAATGAAATAATCTTATTAAATACTTTTTTCTTTACATAGTTGAATGTGCTGACAACAAAATCACACACAAATTATCAATGGAAATCAAATTTATCAACCCATGGAGGTCTGGATTTGGAGTCACCCTCAAAATTAAAGTGGAAAACCACACTACAGGCTGATCCAACTTTGATGTAATGTCCTTAAAACAAGTCAAAATGAGGCTCAGTAGTGTGTGTGGCCTCCACGTGCCTGTATGACCTCCCTACAACGCCTGGGCATGCTCCTGATGAGTCTGTGGTGCAACGTGGCGTTGGTGGATGGAGCGAGACATGATGTCCCAGATGTGCTCAATTGGATTCAGGTCTGGGGAACGGGCGGGCCAGTCCATAGCATCAATGCCTTCCTCTTGCAGGAACTGCTGACACACTCCAGCCACATGAGGTCTAGCATTGTCTTGCATTAGGAGGAACCCAGGGCCAACCGCACCAGCATATGGTCTCACAAGGGGTCTGAGGATCTCATCTCGGTACCTAATGGCAGTCAGGCTACCTCTGGCGAGCACATGGAGGGCTGTGCGGCCCCCCAAAGAAATGCCACCCCACACCATGACTGACCCACCGCCAAACCGGTAATGCTGGAGGATGTTGCAGGCAGCAGAACGTTCTCCACGGCGTCTCCAGACTCTGTCACATGTGCTCAGTGTGAACCTGCTTTCATCTGTGAAGAGCACAGGGCGCCAGTGGCGAATTTGCCAATCTTGGTGTTCTCTGGCAAATGCCAAACGTCCTGCACGGTGTTGGGCTGTAAGCACAACCCCCACCTGTGGACGTCGGGCCCTCATACAACCCTCATGGAGTCTGTTCCTGACCGTTTGAGCAGACACATGCACATTTGTGGCATGCTGGAGGTCATTTTGCAGGGCTCTGGCAGTGCTCCTCCTGCTCCTCCTTGCACAAAGGCGGAGGTAGCAGTCCTGCTGCTGGGTTGTTGCCCTCCTACGGCCTCCTCCACGTCTCCTGATGTACTGGCCTGTCTCCTGGTAGCGCCTCCATGCTCTGGACACTACGCTGACAGACACAGCAAACCTTCTTGCCACAGCTCGCATTGATGTGCCATCCTGGATGCGCTGCACTACCTGAGCAACTTGTGTGGGTTGTAGACTCCGTCTCATGCTACCACTAGAGTGAAAGCACCGCCAGCATTCAAAAGTGACCAAAACATCAGCCAGGAAGCATAGGAACTGAGAAGTGGTCTGTGGTCACCACCTGCAAAACCAGTCCTTTATTGGGGGTGTCTTGCTAATTGCCTATAATTTCCACCTGTTGTCTATTCCATTTGCACAACAGCATGTGAAATGTATTGTCAATCAGTGTTGCTTCCTAAGTGGACAGTTTGATTTCACAGAAGTGTGATTGACTTGGAGTTACATTGTGTTGTTTAAGTGTTCCCTTTATTTTTTTGAGCAGTGTATAATCTAAGATTAGAGTTATGGCTAGGGTTAGGGTTGAGCCAGGTTGTAGACATGAAGCTAGAGTTAGGCAGGGTTAGCTTTAGGGTTTTGGCTAGGGTTAGGGTAAGTACAATGTATTACCATTTTAGTTAGGGTTTGGGTTTGTACTCTTATCCTTTCTATCCTACTCCTCTTTCGACCAGTAAGGTGCTGGAGCTCGACCCTGGGTAACTCCGTCAAAAAAAAATGTGTGTGTGTGTGTGTTAGTGTTTGAAGCAGCTGTGCTTATAATGAAAGTGACCCTTCTTCCTCCTAATGACCGTGCTGCAGGTGAAGGCAGGCACCCTGGGCAGAGAGGCTGTAGAGTCCCCACTGACTGTCACCACTGACAACGTCACCTCAGCAACCACAACTCAAGTTACCAAGGTAAACCCTCCTGTCTCATTTTCAGCCTTTAAAAATATAAAATAATTGGTGATGAGACTTGACACTACTTAAAGTGGCAATATGTAACTTTTAGGGTGACCAAACTCACATAGAAATGTGAGTTATAGATCTATCATTCTACTCTCTAAGAAGCTGTAGATCTGTTCAATGTGCGCTATTTCTATTCTTCCCATTCTTAAGTTTAGTTTTTGTGTCTATTACTTTTGGTTTTGTACACCAGCTGAAAATACAATATTTTTGGTTATGGAAAATATATGTCACAGCGGTTTAGATGGTACAATGATTCTCTACACTATACTAGCGTATTTTGTCACATAAACTGAAATTGAGCGAACTATTAGAGTTTTAGCAACCAATGGCAGAGCGATTTCAGCATAGTGCAACTTTAATAGTATATTTATACATTATAGAGCTAAAGGTCACAGTAATTATGTGATCTGTAGATTGTTGTTGAGCTGTTGTTGAATGGATGTGTGTGTGTTGTGTTTCAGACAGTGAAAGGTGGCTACTCGGAGACCAGGATTGAGAAAAGGATCATCATCACAGGAGATGATGACGTGGACCAACATCAGGTGAGGAACAACAGTCACAGCCGTTACTGAGTGATAATACTGTTTTAATACATTGTAAGGCGTCTTTCATGACAGTCAAATACACTAATATTGTAGATTGCAAATGTCCATTAATGTGAACTGTGACTTTTGTCACGCAGGCCCTTGCGATGGCGATACAGGAGGCCAAGCAGCAACACCCTGACATGCTGGTGACAAAAGCAGTGGTTGTCAGGGAAACAGAGTCTCCCACTGAGGAGCAACATAGGAAATCTGAGGTACGTGGAGCTGCAATGTAAACATCACTGTCATGAGACCATAGTATATTGCCTCAATAAGTAGAGAGGTAGTGATACAGAGAGTTTGTGTGTATGTATGTGTAACTGATGTGAAATGGCTAGCTAGTTAGCGGTGCGCACTAGTAGCGTTTCAATCGGTGACGTCACTCGCTCGGAGACATTGAAGTAGTTGTTTCCCGCGGCTTTTGTGGAGCGATGGGTAACGATGCTTCGAAGGTGACTGTTGTCGATGTGTGCAGAGGGTCCCTGGTTCAAGCCCAGGTAGGGGCGAGGAGAGGGACGGAAGGAACACTGTTAGATATGTGTGTGTTTGCCTGGCAGAAATCAGCATTTGAAAGTTTCCTCTCACTCCTCGTGGCTATATAAATAATAATAAATAATTAGTCATTTAGCAGACGCTCTTATCCAGAGCGACTTACAGGAGCAATTAGGGTTAAGTGCCTTGCTCAAGGGCACAGACAGATTTTTCACCTAATCGGCTCGGGGATTAGAACCAGCGACCTTTCGGTTACTGGCACAACGCTCTTACCCACTAAGCTACCTGCCGCTATGACCTCATCACAGCCATGATAAAAATGTCATGGCCTCGAGTGTATTATTGGTTTTATACAACGGGTTAACAGCATTAAAAATCAAGATTATTTCCCAAACAATCAATTTTTAGGCAAAACATGATGCTACATTCACTAACACTGGTTGTCAAGTGACATTTTAGGTAGTGTAATAACAATAATAATTTGTTCTTAACTGACTTGCCTAGTTGACCCTAGGACAACGGGAGGGTTAAATAAAGGTAAAAAAATAAAATAAATGTGCAGTTGCAAACCGTAGGCTGGCTTTTTTATGGCGATTTTGGAGCAGTGGCTTCTTCCTTGCTGAGCGGCCTTTCAGGTTATGTCGATATAGGACTCGTTTTACTGTGGATATAGATACTTTTGTACCTGTTTCCTCCAGCATCTTCACAAGGTCCTTTGCTGTTGTTCTGGGATTGATTTACACTTTTCGCACCAAAGTACATTCATCTCTAGGAGACTTAGTGTATGTAAATCCAAGCTGTTCCAAGCTGTTGAAAGGCACAGTCAACTTAGTGTATGTAAACTTCTGACCCACTGGAATTGTGATACAGTGAATTATAAGTGAAGTAATCTGTCTGTAAACAATTGTTGGAAAAATTACTTGTGTCATGCACAAAGTAGATGTCCTAACCGACTTGCCAAAACTATAGTTTGTTAACAAGACATTTGTAGAGTGGTTGAAAAACGAGTTTTAATGACTCAAACCTAAGTGTATGTATACTTCCGACTTCAACTGTATGTCATGTTATTAAAAACATATTGTGTTTTCCCACTGGTGTCAGTCTGTTTCACAGAGCTGTGTGTTGCTCTCTCTCTCTGTTTCAGTCCTGATCGCTCATGGTGGTTCCTGGGAGTGGGGACAGGAAATCTCCCGTCATCTCCCTGACCCTCCCCACGCCAGCGCCGCAAGAGGGCTACAGTAACCTGCCCACAGTGTATACTACAATACAACAGAGCGACCGCACTCCCTGAAACAATCCCTGTCTCCTCTACAACACAATACGCCTCCTCTCCTGTCCCTTTAACCAAAACCGACTGTGATGCCGCCTCTGACCCACCCTCGCCCCTTATCCCCCCACCCCACCCAACCACTCTTCCTCTGGGAAATGCCTATTCCCTGGGATTTTTAGAACATGACTGTTCTCACAAATCTGAGAAATAGGCTGCAGTGATTATATCCCCCCAAGAGGTCTGACTTGTAAAGAATATGGCAGGAATAGGGTTTATGTGTTGCCCCATGTTTAGCTATGGGATCTGTGAGATATCAATATGGTGGTTCTGGTATTCTACATCCCCAGACAGACTGTACATGTACAAACATAATGACATGTTAACGGTTCATCACCCTTGATCAGTGTAGTTCAATTAAATTATTAGGGATGAGGATTTAATCCACTGTTAAATCAGATCAACCTTTCCCCAGAACAGATTGTCTTACCTGTAACTACTGGTAATTTATTCGCCAAGAAGTCAATAATAGCCCACCCTTCAAAATTGCTCTCATATATGGTCACCATGGAGATGCCTGCTCTGTGCTGACGTCATGCATGAAGCATGGGGATGGGGAATGGGTGAGTGGAGTGTGAGGAGAGGGGGTTGGGGGAGGGGTGCTCTGCAGGGGCCAGTGGTGATGGCCAGCCTTTAACGCTTGTTGTCACCAGTGTGACACATATATTAAACAGCTGTCTTACTAGCTTTTTAAACATTTGTAACAATAGAAGAATACAATTTAAAGTCCAGTGTTTGCTTGTTTAAGAAAATAAATAAAATAAATGTATCGACTAGCTTCTCATACTCACATGCATGATTCTACATAGTTGAGGTAATGAACGATACGATACGGACCTGTCTAGGAACTGACGTCCACAGGAAGTGCTCAAGATGGCAGAACATTCAGTCTATATCTGAAAGATTCTGTGGAATATGCTTCTGCAAAGTGTAGACACTTCATGTCAACCAAAGCTGATGGGACTATACCGATAGGAGAGTCAACTGAAGGAACACTTGGACAGACACTTCTACAACATGAAGAGACTATGAGTTGGGACTCCACTTAGCATTCAGGGTATACTACTTCTATAGGATCTGACTCTCGTTCTCCGGTTAACAACAAACAGAATCCCCCCCCCCCCCCCCCCCTTCTGTCCTCATCTCCTCATCCTGTTCTCCTTCCTTCATCCTGCTGTTATACTTTCGGTCTCAAATGCTGGTCATGTAGGGCAAAAGTCAAATCGCACCCTGTTCCCCATGTAGTGCACTACTTTAACCAAAACTAGTACACTCTACAGGGAAAAGGGTGTCATTTGAGACGAAGCCATAGTCTGGTCACAGTAGGACTCTTAAAGCAAAATTAGTGGATTTAATTTAAAGTTTCTAATTATTTCATGAAATGTGAGGAAATGTTTGAATTTTTTACTTACTTGAGTTGTCTTTAAGTCATGTTGTATGAGTTCTACGTTTGTATTTATAAGAGTGGTGGTGAATGTGAGTTTTTTCCTTCCCTAAAAAGTATATGCGTGTAATTCCTTTTTCAGTACCCTCACAGACAAAGCCTGGATTCATAAAGTTGGAAGTTTAAGCCCAAACTCCATCCTCTTGGATAGAGAGACAGGAGGTGAACCAGAACAATTGGAAACCCTTTTCTATTCCAGAACAGCAAGCCCTCTGTTGAAAGGGTTCTACATGGAACCCAAGAAGGTTCTATTGGAACCAAAAAGGTTCTTACCTGAAACCAAAAAAGGATATTCAAAGGGTTCTCCTATGGGGACAGCCGAATAACACTTTTTGGTTCTAGATAGCACCTTTTTTTCTAAGCGTGTACATGTTCACAAATACTCTCTGCATAACCTCTTAAGCTATACTGAACAGCTGAATATACATCAGTCAGTCAGTTAGAGAAGAAAAATAAATGATACTGGAACAAACTGTTGAATTTATATACTATGCATTGTTCCCTATGTGGATAACCAGATTCATTTTTGGAGTGTCGATCTGCTCTAATCATCTCCGATGTGATATTAATTACAGTGGTCAGTTTTAACTGCTTGTGAGACTTGCAATAATTGTCTCTCTGTAGCCACCTCACACTATTGTAATCCATTATCAGTCTACTTAATGGAGAAAACTGTGAACTGTCATGCATACACTACTGGTCAAAAGTTTTAGAACACCTACTCATTCAAGGGTTTTTCTTTATTTTTACTATTTTCTACATTGTAGAATAATAGTGAATACATCAAAACTATGAAATAACACATATGGAATCATGTAGTAACCAAAAAAGTGTTAAACAAATCAAAATATATTTTATATTTGAGATTCTTCAAATAGCCACCCTTTGCCTTGATGACAGCTTTGCACACTCTTGGCATTCTCTCAACCAGCTTGAATGCATTTCAATTAACAGGTGTACCTTCTTAAAAGTTAATTTTTGGAATTTATTTCCTTCTTAATGCATTTCAGCCAATCAGTTGTGTTTTGACAAGGTAGGGGTGGTATACAGAAGATAGCCCTATTTGGTAAAAGACCAAGTCCATATTATGGAAAGAACAGCTCAAATAAGCAAAGAGAAACGACAGTCCATCATTACTGTAAGACATGAAGGTCAGTCAATACGGAATATTTCAAGAACTTTAAACGTTTTTTCCAGGTGACTACCTCATGAAGCTGGTTGAGTGAATGCCAAGAGTGTGCAAAGCTGTCATCAAGGCAAAGGGTGGCTATTTGAAGAATCTCAAATATAAAATATATTTTGATTTGTTTAACACTTTTTTGGTTACTACATGATTCCATATGTGTTATTTCATAGTTTTGATGTCTTCACTATTATTCTACAATGTAGAAAATAGTAAAAATAAAGAAACACCCTTGAATGAGTAGGTGTTCTAAAACTTTTGACCGGTAGTGTATAAAAAGTATTACCAAAATGTTCCAAAATGGAGTTGAAACTAGAAGTTGAGCTCTGCCACACAGTGTCTCCGTGGCTTTGTCACCGTGCTTGTCAAAACTACTCCACTCTCACTTCACCCTGAAGTAACAGAGGGGATCTTTTGGACTTTGTCTTACCTGCTGTAGAGTTGTCTCTGTGAAACAGACAGAGTCTGAACGTTTTTTTTCTATATTTTATTTCATTTTATCTGGTCAAATGACACTGGATTGTTGTTTAGGCACTTGCTTGCAGTGATAGGCAGCAACGATATTGTTAGAAGTGTGTGGTGTCGCTATATTGGACACACACCTCTCAAAATGATTACTTGCTGTATAGACATTGAGAAAGAAGTTGCCATGTAAAGCTGATGTGCTGTTTTGAAGGGTGGGAGGCATATTGTATGCATATGAACATAAATACTTCTATGTGTGCATACAATTACAAATATACTGGAAAAGTGGGATGAGGTTGTGCTGATTTCATAATAGAGGATTAAACAAATGTGCAATGTTAAGACTGCAGACTACTTGTAAGGACTAATACAGTGCAATAGTTATACTGATGATGGGTGCCTTACTGTTGGATGCACTGCCACTGAAAACCATGGAATTTATTATTTAGTCTACCTGTGATCTACTAACATTTCAGCCATCCGCTCTCCATGTGGTGAGGTCATGACCTCTTCTGGAGCCCTGGATGACCTCACCTTTATTGTCAAAGGTGTGGGCCGGTTGGACTGTCTTTACCTACTCATTAAGGTCCCATATAAGGATTGGCCAATACTATTGATAAGCTATGATGTGCTCTTTCAATGGTAGGAATAATAAGAACTGGAACTAAAATCCATTGAAGAGCAGAAAGATGACAAACACAGGCCCTAATAGGACAGAACTGCTATGAGTGGCTGATTCCATAGGCTCACATGAAGCACTATCCTAATTCCATAGGCTCACGTGAAGCACTATCCTGATTCCATAGGCTCATGTGAAACACTATCCTGATTCCATAGGCTCACGTGAAGCACTATCCTGATTCCATAGGCTCACGTGAAGCACTATCCTGATTCCATAGGCTCATGTGAAACACTATCCTGATTCCATAGGCTCACGTGAAGCACTATCCTGATTCCATAGGCTCACGTGAAGCACTATCCTGATTCCATAGGCTCATGTGAAACACTATCCTGATTCCATAGGCTCACGTGAAGCACTATCCGTTCCACTCTTCCTCTTCCACCCTTCAATTCACCTCAACCTTTTGCTCTTCATTCCCCCAGTGTGTGGTGGTGTGTGTTTGCTGTATTTGCATTCAGTTTAAATGGAAAACATACATAAATAAATGTCTCAGTGCGATTCATATTGTCTCTGCAATTTCATGATGAAGACAAATGCTGCAAGATGTTGTGAAAACAGGTAAAGGTCTTGAGACTGTAAGCAGATACAGTACATTTAGTTTGTTTGGTATCCTGCATTGCCATCTTGTGGTCCTTAACATAATTGCAATCGGGAATAAGATTACAGTAGTATAACACTCCATCGAGTATAATCATCAATGTCCTCAAATGGTTATTGCTCTACCTTATTACTGCCAAGTGCTCATTTTTTATATTTTCTTCTCATTTTGAACATTTTGACTGTTACTGCATATCTCGAAATTAAGCATCTAGCACCACCTAGTGGATTTACGGTGAATTACAATATAATGAATACGGATTACATTGAATCAGCATCGAGAAATAAGTCCATTGAATTTCACTCACTTCTATAAATCAATAAACTTTATTCAATAACACAGTATAAACAACCAACAACAGCAAAAAAACGGAACTTCACATGGAGTAAATGGATGGTTGTAGCGGTAAATCCCAAAGGGGTAGGGCCTACAGGAGCACAGCTGTTTGAGACAGAAACACAGACATAAAATCAAATCAAATCAAGTGGTTTGACGTGTATGGGTACAGATGCACAAACTTGCTCTCTTTGCATGTTCTCAAGCCATTCAGTCACTTAGCAGATCTACAGAAATGGGCAAACACATTCATGCTGAGCGACATTTAGCTACTGTATGAAACGTTTGTGTTATTACATAAAAACCAAGTTAATCAGCTCTTTAGAAAGGTTTCCATTGTATATAAATGATCTGAAGTGTACCAAAAAGTATATTACACATTTTCCAATGCATGATTCCTGCCTAAACTTCCATTTGAAAGTACTACAAACTACCTGCACTTTTGACTTTTTCACTGGATTACAAGCTACATACGTAATGTACTGTACCAGTTTCACACAGCATCAGAAGACTATGGGAAAGGAAAAGATCATCAGCAGCATTTTTCTTTTAGTAAGAATGCAGTCAGTGAACCCACTAAAATGTCCCAGGCTTCCCACGTTGCCCTTAAACCATGCTGAACAGCACTATGCTGTTGAACCACACCACTCCTTCATATAGAATGACAAGGGCCAGGAGATTTTCCTGGCGAGGTCACAGGGTCAGGAAAAAACCCTGGCCCTAACTATAATATATAACTAGGACAAGGAAATGTTCTTGACTACATAACTTGGCCCTAAGAATTGGATGGTAATAACGCAAACCCCTACAACCTGTCTATTAATGCAGTGTGTACCTACACATCATACAGCAGCTGCATAACAGACATCTAGGTTTCTAATAGTTGTTGATATATATGATAAGTTTAAGGCTCTTTAAGGACCTGAGGATTTCGAACATATGATGAGGCACACACAAGGCAAAGCATAGAATAGCTATAGAGTAGACACGGCTAACTGAGAGGATGAGACAGACAGCCATATGAGGGTCCAGTCACCAGTGCAATTAAATGGCCAAGGTAGAGGAACCTGTGGAAGATGGGACTTCAAACCAGTGAGGGTGAATAAAGTCCTTTAACATAGTGTCACATTTCTGTTCAGTAAAATATTCCCTCAGGCATCAGTGCAATGTTTTATGGAGTAATAAAAAAATAGTTAGCAATACACACATCATATCAGTGGTAACAATTCCTAAGTTTCTAAGAAGACTGAACTATGATCTTTGTTTGACATTAAACCACAGTTACAGGTTTATTTTTGACCAGAAAATGCTGTTCACTTCAGATGACAAAAATGCTCTTTCCAACAAACTGAAAACGTTTAAAATTAATCTGTAAGTATGGGCCATGCACTGAACTCCACTCAACCTTGCCTTTTCTAAAAAGCCCAGACTAATTATGAATTGGTTTCAAAATAAATCTATAAAAGCTAGACATATCATACAAAAGATGCATATTAGACATTTTAATGAAAGCTGCTTTGGTAACAACAGTCAAGACTTCGGTCGATTTCCTGTTCTCGCCGGCTGGCGGGGTGTTGAAAGCGGGGCCCTTTCTCTCCTTCTCATCTCAGTGACTTTGTTTTCCAACGTCGCTTGTCCTCCTGCCTCTAAAACCTAAATGAATGGATCTAGTTACACCAGACTGGGCGGAGGGTGTTCGTGTTCCGTTGTCGAGTTGCCTCCACATCAGATGCAATGTTCGCTGGGAGCGCTTTGTCATAATGATGTTCGCGCTGTGAAAGACAGTGCTATTGTACTGAGGGCAGATAAAGTAGAGACCTTGGTCGCTGAGCCAATTGCATTGGATCCTGAAAAACGTGAAAATTAATGGGCTTTGTTAGTCTGTCCATTTACGCAGAAAAATACAAGTAGCCTGGTTGGCAATTCGTTGTTGGCTTTTTGTGCTATTACATGCTTTGGTAATCAAACCTTGGGCATATTTACATGCATTTCTGAATACAAAAATGTATTTAGGCCGGGATTCAATCCGATCGCGCTTTGTCAGCTATCCACCTTTTAAAGACAATGTTCCCGCGATCAGATTGAATCCTGGCCTGATTCGTTTTTTGTGTGCGTACCAAATAACCCCCACTCTATCTGCTCCTTTTCAAATCAAAATCAAATCAAATGTATTGGTCACATACACATGGTTAGCAGATGTTATTGCGAGTGTAGCGAAATGCTTTTGAAGTCATGGCTAGGGCCACAAAAAATTCAGGTCCCTAGTCATAACAATAAACCAGTAATGGCAACAGCTCTAAGCAACACCATTGAGATCATTGAAGTGTGAGGGAGCAGTCAACTAGAGACTGACCTGGTATTCTGGGGATGGTGATCTGTCTGCTACTGCTCCCCTCTCCTCCCTCCCCAAATGGTTTGATCTGGATGAAGTACTCCTCATCCATAGGCAGAGAGAGCTCCACCGACGTCGTGTTGGTTTCCATGACACTAGGGCGGCTGTGTCGGTTACCCTTGTAGAGCACCTATGGACGGACCACACAAGTAAAAGGTCACCGGGAGAAACCATGACAACAGGCACTATTTCTAACTAAATCAATGTAGTCAGTGCTTTGGTTTCCACTAGATAGCACAAGCACAAAGTCCAAATTGAAATCAGATAAATTGCAGAAATAGGCAGGGTTTATGACTTTGTGGCTGTGTTAACTAGTGACAACCAAACGCTTCCTTACTTTGTAGCCAGTGACCTCTGACTCGTTCTCCAAGGCTTTGACTTGCTCCCAGTTCAGGATTATCTTGGAATTCAGTGTGTTCCACATCACTTTCACTGGAGGCTGGCTGGGCGCTGAGGGACACAGATACATGAGGATGAAGATTACATGATCTCCAATAAGTCAGTGGAAACAACCTCTCTAACCTCTCTAAGGCAGGGTTGATGCTTACGTGGTTTCTTGGTGGTGACATTGACAGTGGCACTAGGAGGCCCAGCTCCGGCCGTGTTGTACGCTCTCACTGTGACATAGTACGTGTTGCTTCCTCTCACCCCTCGGATAATGGCTGACGTCTGGTTCCCTACCGTCCTCTGCACACTGGCCACCTCCTCCTTCTCTCTCTTCTCCCAGTACCTCAACTGAGACCAGATAGACAGAGGATAACCAGGGACATTAATGCAGACACTAGTCTGACAGGACAACTGTAAACTGGAACAACAGTGAGTGCAGTAAATTGGTATAAAAACAGCATTTAATTGTATGGTGTGTCACCTCATACAGTGTCGTCTTTCCATGGGTAAGGTGCTTTGGTTCTGGTTTCTTAGCTCATGAAGTGAGGGAGTGTTTAAATGGTGTGGTCAAAGAGAAATCACCATGTGCATAATGTCCCAGCTGTCAAGTTGACTGATAACAGATTTTCTTTGTCACCCAAGTGTCCAGGCTGAAATAGCTGGCACGGTTGACAGGTCAAACATAATTTGTCTTTCCTCGCAGGAACAGTTTGCTCAGGCCCACTTGCCTGGTTACTTTAAATGGTCAACAATTCATAATTCTAGTACTTTATGCATCCCATGGATGAAAATAGGTAATTTGTTCATATATAGAATTTGAAAAGTGAGCTGAGCCACAGTTTTTTTTTACCCACAGTACTGTGTGGTTTATAGGCTAAAGTTTCTGTCCCCTGGTGCATTGCATCACTAGACTGTTAAAATAAAGCTTTAAGACCCAAGGGGGTGTGGTATATGGCCAATATACCACAGCTAAGGGCTGTTCTTATGCATGACGCAACGAGGAGTGCTAGGACACAGCCCTTAGCCGTGGTATATTGGCCATATATCACAAACCCCCAAGGTGCCTTATTGCTAATATAAACTGGTTACCAACATAATTAGAGCAGTAAAAATAAATGTTTTGGTCATACCCATGGTATACGGTCTGATATACCACAGCTTTCAGCCAATCAGTATTCAGGGCTCGAAACCACCCAGTTCATAATAATCTGTATAGTTAGTAACAACACTGAGCACAGCAACAACAGAAACAGACAGACAGAGACAGACTGACTGACTGACAGACAGACTGACAGACAGACCAGGCTGGACCATCACACATAACAAGCTATTAGAGATGAGATGCCCAATGTGCATGAGCTAAAACACGCACGGACGCACACACACACACTTACACTTACACACACACACACACACACACTTACACACACACACACACACACAGCACCTGGACCTTTGCCCTACCACTCACTAAAGCTCTTTTTGGGGGGGGGGTTGGTTGCGTCTGTTGGTTTGCCCTGTACGGAGCTCGCATGTGCCCTGTTGAGCCCGTTTCCCAGTCTGCCTTGTATGGAGATTGCACGCGCTCGGTATTCAAACATGCATGGCTTGAGATGCGGTAACCGGTTGAGTGTGTGTAGCAAGTTACCTAGTTTAAATATCAACAGTACTGCCACAGCAGCATAATATTTGATTAACACTTGATTTACATCATCATCAATATTGGGTCAGGTTGGTTGATATGCGCAGCAGAGAGCGGCAGGAAGACAGAGAGGAGTGGCTGCATCTACGACCCTCCGACCCAACTCCATCCATTCTTCAGTCGGGAGTTGCACATGTGTGTCAGGGCAGCAGCAACACAGGTAGTCTAGGCCAGGGCTCTACAACCATGTTCCTGGAGAGCTACCGTCCTGTAGGTTTTCACTCCACCCCTAATCTAGCGCACCTGATTCTAATAATTACAGTAGCTGGTTGATAAGCTGAATCAGGTTAGTTACTGGGGTTGAATTGAAAACCTACAGGAGGGTAGCTCTCCAGGAACAGGGTTGGAAAGACCTGGTCTAGACTCTAGCTAACCACCATATACTAAAATATCCACACAAGCCACTAGCCAGCTAGCCATATTTCATGAGTTAGAAGATTATTAATATTATAAGTTATTATTTAAAAACATTGAAGATAAATCACAATCAGTAATAAAAAATATCATGAACAATCAGCTGATAGCCCACCCTCTTTTCCCGATGTCAATCATGTCTTTAGGAGGCATTGTAACTAGCTTATGAAAGTAGGTTTTCTTTCAAGTGGGGGGGGGGGCACCCTTTTTTATTTATTTTTGCACCTGCCCCCTGAAAGTTCTGTGCACGGCCCTGCACACACACGCAAACAAACACACACACACACAAATAGGTAGAATTTGACTTACCTCATAGCCTAGAACTCTTCTCTTGCTGGTGTTCCAAGGCAGGGCTTTCCATGAAAGCTCAATCTCAGACGCTGACAGACTCTTGGCTTGGATCCTGGTGGGTGCTCTGCCAGGCTCTGGGTTAATGCAAAAAAAATACTTTAAATGAGTTTAAAAGTAATGGCAGGCTTTGATTACCCTTAAAGTGGGTCCATCTCTTTCATCAGAGGTACAGCGAGAGAACCAGAACCATCAGCAACAGCAGGAACCAACCATCTGCAGATGTAGATAGGAGTGTATGGGTTAAAGGATCACTGAATAAACTATCCAGAGACGCCTCTCCATTGGCTTTTAAACATACTGCTGCTCCTATGCGTCTCAGACTGACATGACATTCTTTACCAACCTTCCTCTGCAGAGTAGATGGTGATGACGGGTCCGAATGGGCCTTCCCCTTCATTGTTGTACACTCCAACCTTCACTTGGAAGGGGGAGAAGGGCTGGATGCTCTCGTTCTTGAAGACATATTTGGAGGCTTCTGGTGAGGGCACTGCGGCCTGCATCCAGCCTGTGGCTCCGTACGGTCTGAAGGCCACCACATAGCCAAAACCTCCCCCGTTCTGTAACTCCTCAGGAACAGGCTGCAAGAAAACACACACACACACACACACACACACACATTGAAACTGGTGCACAAATAGTGAACACACACATCCATCCATAATAAAGCGCCCTCAGCATGACACCTTGTTAAGACTGAAAGCACATCATATTTCATATATTTATGGGGACTGACTTTTATTGTTTAAGTCAACACTCCTCTAAAGATGGTTAAATAAAGGGCATTTTATTTTATAACACTTTGGAAAAGTAAGACATTGACTGAGAGTCATAGCTATTGTATAGCATTAGACAGACACCTTACATTTTAACTTAATTGGTTTTCCACACATTTAAATAATTTAGTCCATTGTACTTTGAGGTAACTTCAGAACTGTATCAGAACTTTGAAGTTAGACTTTAATTTAACTATCATATTGAAACCAACATTCAACAGACATTCAGCAAAACTTTCACAGCAATGGATGATTTTCAAGCAGGCGGAATAAATATGAGTTTTTCAAAACGGGACTGATTAAGAAGGAAGCTTCATTTAAAAAAGATACGTAAAACACAATCTTCGAAAAGTTGCTTGTGACTTTGTGAAGAACCATTCTGTTTAATTATATTATTAAAACCTCAAAGGCATTTTTCTCTCCCCAGGGTGACAGCAGCAGTTATTGCTTCTCTGTTCTTAAAAATGAAATGCCATACTTTAAGCCTGCCTGCTGTTATTAATGAAACAACGGCCCGATTCCTTAGAGAATAATAACGTCTGGCTTCCCCTCCACGTGTGAGGGAGTATGGGAGCAGGCGGCTTGCTTACCTCCCAAGTGATGACTAATTCTGAGCGACTGCCTCCACCTCCGCTCACATTAGCTGGTGTGACCTTCGGAGCTGGGGGAACAGAGGGTAATTTTTATCCTGCTCAACTCAGTCGACACCAGTCATCAATGATAACATGATAATAACACATTCGTATTAGATTTTTTGACATTGAAATAGCTTTTCTCCCCCATACCAGACCAACTAATGGCAAGTAGACGCACATAAGAAACACAGAAAACATGCAGGATTGAAGGGATTCCATGAAAACAGTACATACATGTCTCCTTTGTCCTTGCTTGTTTGGATGGTTTGCTGGGCTCCCCGGTCCCAATGGCGTTGCTTGCCAGGACTCTGAACTCATATTCCACCCAGGGGCTCAGATCTATTACTGTAGCTGTCAGACGGCGGCCCCCCACCACCTCAGGAACTGGCACAAAACAAAACAGCCCCCTCCCCTCAGAATGAAGCAGGTACCAGGAGAGTGTCCTCTAGGCTGACAGGCCCACTGAGCACACTCCACAGGTGCAGGGGACTAATCAGTCAGAAGGACACATGGTGTACTCACACACACGCAAACACACGACAAAACACATGACAAAACACACACCCCAAGGGTGGAGCTCACTCGGTTTCCCTGTTTGCTCATGTGCAGAGCTCTGTTTGTCCGGATCATGAAGGTAACTCCCCAAACTAACAGACTTCTCCCCTAAATAATTAGAACAGTCCCAACCATGCATGACTACACCCTGTTCTATTGTAGATGATATAGTAGAACTGGGTGATATGGACCAATATTGCTATAAATTGCCTGAATTGACGAGATAACAATAAATAGAACGATACGTTTATAACATTAATGTGCACCACAGTTTTTTTTATTATCCTTTAAACTACTACTATGGTTGTAGCCATCAATTTTTCCGTAGAAAATCACCGATCATTTTTGGTTTATCGTCCCAGCTCTATAATATAGAGAACCGCCATCCAAACTTTCATATGGGACACTTTTCTATGCTACCAAATAGCTCCCTTCACTGTAAGTCAGACATCTGGAAATAGATCCACATTTCAAAAAACCCTGCAGTCAAGTAAAACTGCAGTCAACCTGGTCACTGAACAATCGTGTGTCATTTGGTATCAAAGTAAAATCACTCACAGGCCTATATATATTCTCACAGGGGAGAAGAGAAAATGGAGATCAGACCCCTATATAATGCTTTGATGAGGCAATGGCTGGTTGGAGAGCCTACCTGTGGTGACAGCCTGCCAGCCCAGGGAGAAGGGTGTCCTGGCCTGCATAGTGTATGTGGTAATTGGACTGTGATTATCAGGCCCGGGCCTCCAGGAGAGAGAGGCTGTGGTGTCACTGATTTCTTCTACATGGATGCTGGTGGGTGGGCCTGGGGGACCTGCAGATATGGGGCACAGCCAGGCAGGGAAAGAGATGGAGGGAGGGAGACAGAGAGAGAGGGGTGGTCAGAGAGAGGGTGGGGGGGGGGGGGGGGGGGGGGAAGGGAGAAGGAGTGTGATAAAGGCAGAGCAGGGAGCAGTGGTGTCCTGATCACTGTCCGCCTTCAGCAGTGGCAGTACAGCTGGCAAAATCAGTTTGGTGAGCAAACCTCAGGGAGCCTTTCTATCTTTTATTTTATTTATTTTTTATTTCACCTTTATTTAACCAGGTAAGCCAGTTGAGAACAAGTTCTCATTTACAACTGCGACCTGGCCAAGATAAAGCAAAGCAGTGCGATAAAAACAACAACACAGAGTTACATATGGGGTAAAAAAAACATAAGGTCATAAAATACAACAGAAAATATATATATAGTGTGTGCAAATGTAGCAAGTTATGGAGGTAAGGCAATAAATAGGCTATAGTGCACAATAATTACAATTAGTATTAACACTGGAATGCTAGATGTGCAAGAGATTATGTGCAAATAGAGATACTGGGGTGCAAAAGAGCAAAATAAATAACAATATAGGGATGAGGTAGTTGGGTGGGCTAATTTCAGATGGGCTGTGTACATGTGCAGTGATCGGTAAGGTGCTCTGACAACTGATGCTTAAAGTTAGTGAGGGAGATAAGAGTCTCCAGCTTCAGAGATTTTTGCAATTCGTTCCAGTCATTGGCAGCAGAGAACTGGAAGGAATGGCGGCCAAAGGAGGTGTTGGCTTTGGGAATGACCAGTGAGATATACCTGCTGGAGCGCAGACTACGGGTGGGTGCTGCTATGGTGACCAATGAGCTAAGATAAGGCGGGGATTTGCCTAGCAGTGATTTATAGATGGCCTGGAGCCAGTGGGTTAGCCTTTCTATCTAATTAGATTAGACGTTATTTTGTCATCCTAAAGAGAGCGAGACACGTCTCTATCTGACCATCTTTTCAACTGATCTCACAGAGTACGATGCCTTCACATCACAATTAGAGGCATGCCCAGGACAATGGAGAATAAACACAGACTACTTTCTGTGTCACCAGAGGAATTTATTAGACTGTATTAGTGATTTAAATACTTGGATGGCTCACAACTTCCTCCAGCTAAATCAAGACAAGACCAAGGTACTTATTGTTGGATTCAAAGCACATAGAGAATCTAATTGCACATTTTAATTCACGGGCAATACACTTAAAACACCAGGTAAAAAACCTAAGTGTTATTTTAGATTCTGAACAAAATTTTGAATCACACATTAGGAATGTGACCAAAATTGCTTTTTACCACCTGAAGAAAATTGCCAAGGTGTGGCCGTTTCTCTCTCAGGCTGATACAGAGAGACTCATCCATGCTTTTTAAAACAAGCAGGCTTGACTACTGTAATGCTCTCCTGTCTGGTCTACCCAAGAAAGCCATTGGTCAACTGCAGAACATACAGAATTCTGCAGCACGGGTACTGACCAAGACCAGACGGAGAGCACATTTTACACCGGTTTTAAGGTCTCTGCACTGGCTGCCTGTGAGTTTTATAATTAATTTCAAGATTCTTCTATTGGTTTTTAAATCAATCCACGATTGTGCACCCCAATACATGTCAGACATGCTTTTATGTTATGTACCCAGTAGGTATGTTGCCATGGATAACTGAACCAATCAAGTGACCAAAAACTATTTGTGTGGGATTGTTGCCTAGCAAATTGCATTTTCTATTACCATGACTTTTCAATTACCTTTCAAGGACACGAGGATGGCTTTTCACTGACTTACTTCTGTGAGGTTTACAAGGTTTTTCCGACTACATAGGCAACCCATATTGAATGTGTGACAGTGTTAACATTTGCTTGATGCTTTATAACATAATTAGTAAATACCAATCATTTATAGAAAAAATAAAGGTATCTTTCATGAAATATTGCTTGTCCTGAATAGACAGAGGTACCTCGGACTACCAGGTCTGCTGCGATGGAGATGCTGTCCACTTTGGTCTGTACCGCACAGGTGTACTTCCCTGCATGTCTCAGCTGGATGTTCCGAATCATGATGTCCCCAGCCGAATGCTGCTAACATACAACACACACATGAATATACATACACGCAAACGCACAGACGGACACACACACGCACGGAGACACACACACACGCACAATGATTAATATACTGTAGTAACATTTTAATATTAGTAATTATAATACATGAAATATGCGGATTTGACAACAATATGTGAGCAGAAACAAAAGATTTGAAAAACATATTCAGGGTCTTTGTATGTTTATTATTGTATTATAATTCTAGGGTTTAAACTATTATCTGTTTCCAGGTTCTAAAAGGGTGATGGGCATACCTATAAATGTGAGACAGGCAGAGTACTTACATTTAATCATAATAATTGCACAAATGTATTCATACAAATGTGCTGATTTTAGCTGTAGAAGAGTGGCCTCATTATTTCAATGATCAAGCAAAGCTTAATAGCTTAAGTTCTCGAGTTCTTTTTATTTCATTTCTAATTGCAGTCCCCGCTTTCACACTATCATTTAATCAGCCCACCACTGAGTGGAGTCAGGACCAGTGTTAAATTGGATGTGGCAAAAGCTGCTGCATCATTACAGGGATCCATGAAGTTTCAATGAAACAGTGTACAAATGTATTTAACTCTAGAGGTGGTGTCATTTATCATGGCAAAAGGAAAACATTAAGATTTTTTTTTAAATAATGAAAAACATGACAAGCTGACCAGAGACTGAACATGTCTCTGCTAATCACTTCTGGAACAATGTTCATCATCACTCTTCTTCAGACAGGGGAGCTAAACAAGGCTATTTTAAGTGTTTTGTTTTTACCGTAAAAATGTAAATGAAGTTTTGAGCTTGGTAGGTGTTAGGGAAGGGTGGCGAATATGTATAGTATATGTGATTTTTTTTAAAACTACGTGCAGCACATTTTCAGCCCATTAATACACATGATCCAAACATTCTCTGCACTGCGGATACCCTTCTCTTTTATGACCTCACTCATACTAAAGGAAGGGAAACAGTATCAATGTACAAATGCATCACAAGCTTCACCCCTTGATCTTTCTCAGTGTCATTTCTGAAGGGGTTGAAAAATCTATGTGTCTTTAATGACATATTTTCATGAGAGAGCAGTGGCATAAATAAAATATAAGCAATCTCCAACACAGTGTAGTAAAGATGTGTGTTTCTTCCTATTCATTATGCATTGCAGTGCTCCTGACAAGCATGGTGTAAAAGCGTGGTACTACGGCACCATTTCTCAGACATGACACTTTGATTATAAATGGGAGCCTTGATCGCCCCGCAGGTTCTTGGAATCGTGAGGGAATATTCGGAGGCTTATGCACTTACACCGCCCACTTTTTCAAAGTATCCGCCGTGGTTGCCAAAGTGGATCAGCTGCTCGTTGAAGAACCAGGTGAACATGAGCTTCAGAGACGGGTCATGAGTCACCTGACATGGCAGCACGATGCTCTCTCCTACAGTCACATCCAGTGTGGACGGTGCCGTGGTGATAATGGTCGGCTCTGGAAAACAGCACACATACACTACTGTTAGTGTGAATGAAACGTCAACGAAACACATAAAAAAAGCAAGCATTAAATTATGCAGTATTAAGTGAAATCCCCAAGCTAAAAATATTGTAAAAGATTATTGCAAATGTTTTGCAAAAGGAAATGTTCTAATAACTTACATGTTTATCAAATTACTAATTCAACAAATAGATGGACACGTGTGGAAGTAAAAACACACTAACTCAGGACAAAAAACGACTGTGATTACCAGAGTTAACCCATTTTAGCCAGCCAGAGGGTACAGTGTGGAGACTGTAATGGCTTGTCTCCCTGTACAGATGTGGGATCTGATGCAGGGGATGCAGGGGAACTTTTCTGCAATGCAGGAAATGTAAAACTTGTAGTGTATTTGAGGTTTAAAAAGACTTCTGAAGTTTGTAATTTCCACCTGATTTTCCCCTTATGAAAAATGCATCAACCCCTACACAAATGACCATTAACTATAATCCACATAATAATCCACATTTCCTGTTGCTGCAGGATTATTTTCCTGCTGTAGCAAACTGGCTCAAGCTAAGATCCTACATCTGTACGTAGAGAGATATAGTCTATCTATGTGTAACTGTGAGCTCAGCCTTCAGTCGGTAGGTACAGTAACTCCCCCATCTGCAGACTGCAGTGCAGACCCCCAGACTGCTGCAGCCACTCAAAGAACAATAAACACAAGCAGGGGGCTCCTCCTTCACAACACATTCTCTATTCAAGTCTCTGCATGCATGTGGTGTGTTGCTGTTGTTCCACTGGGGAATTAGACAGCATCCCTCATCTCCAGCATGAGTGTGAGCAGAGACAGCTAATCATGAGCCTTCAAGAGTGTCTGCTAAATGATGTAAATGTAATGGCTACCCGGACTATTTGCATTGTCCCTGCATTGACTCTGCAGCGGTACCCCCCTGTATATAGCCTTGCTACTGTTATTTTATTTTACTGCTGCTTTAATTATTTTGTATTTTGTATTTTTTTACTTATCTATTTTTCACTTAACACTTTGTTTCTTTCTTAAAACTGCACTGTTGGTTAAGGGCTTGTAAGTAAGCATTTAATTGTAAGGTCTACACGTTGTATTCGGTGGATATGACAAATAAAATGTGATTTGATTTGATTTGATTTGATTTTGACAAGGAGAATGGGAACACAGGAGAGCAGAACGGTGAGGGGAGTGGGGTGGGGTGGGGGAGCCGCTTGTTTCTGGTGCTGTACGGCGCTTGTCTCCCTCTTGGGGGTGCTGTGAGTACTCGGTTGAAATATCCACTCTGAGCGCCGACTAAATTAACCATGGCAAATAATCCCTGGACAGGCAGCCATAGATTCCTGCAGAAAATGCCGGCAGTGCAGTCGTCATCCAGAGTAAATTCGATACCTGCATTGTATTCCCCTTATGTGATTGATCTAGTCTCTTCTATTATCAGAGCAGAGTGATATCAGCTGGTAGGTTTGGTTAGACTACAAGGCGAGGGTGTCTTAAAGGCTCAGCCCTATTCCAGGGAAGATGAAATGGGACACATAACTATATCGTGACACAGTCAGACCCTCACAAAGGGACATTTGCAGAGAGAGAAAGGGTTGAAAGGGAGAAAAAATGAGAAAAAATGAGAAAAACCTACGCCTCCTCTTTCCCCTGACATGTCCCTTGTGAGAACATAGCAAGAGGAGCGTAAACGTCTTTTGGTTCCTGACAATAATGCCAATGGCCTTTGTTATAGTCTTAATATCACAAGTTTTTTTGCACTCCTCTCAGTAAGGTATCCTTATGACATTTTTTTTTAAACCAATTTTTACACCTAATGACATGTCAGTGTCAAGACGAAGTGCTGAGAACATACAGGTGAAATGTCCAATGCTAACCGACACAGCAGCCTATCTCTTAATGAGAGAGCAGTCATTTTAAAAACCATGGGGGCCAGATGTATGGTCATGCCTAGTTAGCTCTGAGCTCTTAGGCTGACCAGAGACATTCATTCATTGTAGAGATGACAATGGGAAAACCTCTCCTATTACTCCACTCAATCATCATTTGTGACAGATTGTATGGATAACTCTGGTTGGTTACATGACCTCAGCTGACTGAGCAGAGCTCTCCAGCGTAATTTGATTGATATCTATCTTGTATAATGCCTTGTTACCTACTGTCGTTATAAAAGCGAGGCGAGTACTCCTCTCACTAAGCAGGGTCAATCAGAGACAAGACGGAGAGCTTGTAACCACCCCGACAGATAGATCCCACTACACTCCAGGGACTGCTGGGAGGTTGAGCAGCAGAACAACCGGAGAGACAGAAATTGCATAGTAATAATGTTAAAGTGGGAGGTCAAAGACGAGAGAGAGAGAGAGAGAGAGAGAGAGAGAGAGAGAGCTGGGCTGGGCTGTTTACAGTGTGAATTAATGTGGGCTCCATCCTCTCCCGTCTCTGTGGCTCGCGGCTGACACGCCTCACTCTGCCAGTGCCTCTGCCCAGCCGCCGCTCATCTCACAAACAGCCAGTCACACATTAATAATGCTCTCACAGGCTACTGCGGCTACTGCCACTGAGGCAGAGACGCCCCATCAACCCCTGTGGAGACTCCCCCCCAAGTTGAATGGCCTTAGGTGGGGTGTGTAAATGTGTACTCCTCTCTGGTGTACATATTCTTAAGGCCCTCTGCTCAAGGGTGGCTGTGTGCACTTGAATAATGCATTAGGAGCATTCCAGAGTCATGTGGTTGAAGAGTTTTCAGATATAACAGGCGGAGCGAGGCACGACCTTCCAAGCTCAGAGCCACATGGCTGCTCCCCAGTGAAGAGGGTTGAAAGAAACACAAACACCTTGTGTAAAGGGTTTTCATTGGGAGGTCACAGGGCCTTTGTTAACAGAGCAACCTGTTTGAATAGGTGAGGGCAGCAACTAAACAAAGTCTCTTTGAACAGTGCTGGCGTGCATAGTACCAACCTACACTCTTCCTGACTACATGACTTGAGTAGCACTTTGGTTGCTCGTTGTTGTACCTATGTATTCCATAATGATTTCAGTGCATAATTAAAATTGTCCCTTGATACTTCAGATGAAAGTATACTGTAACTAACTTCTTATAGGGTGTCTGCAAGAGATAAATTGTTCAAACCGAATCTTCATTTCCCAGTCTTTTAGATCAAGGAAACGCAAAAGAAGTCCTTTATCATGCAGAGCAAAACAAATTATTCTACAGCCATTCAACATGAATACTCCACATTTTCGTCAAGACACAAAAATGATTATCTCAAGGACAAACCTCAATGGAGCAATGGTTGGTGAGCAAACTTTGTGTAAATAATGAGACATATTCTAGTGAGCTGCTCTCAATACTCTATTCATACTGTCTATAATAGCACATCTGTAGCTACCTACTGATAAGATATTGGGTTATATTACAATTTTCCATACATTTTCCTTCGGCTTCAACAACACATCAATAATCACAGTCTGAATCTCTGACTCATTGCATATTAATAGCTTGTGCAGTAGAAACACCTCACAGAAGTCAGTCTGAAATCTAGATGTTTTTTTGTTCATTTTCTGCTGCCCACAAGCCTTGAAAGAGCACCACATAAATCGTTCAGACAACTTATCTTCTGTCCTGCACCTACAAAAAATCTGGAAGTGACAAAAACAATGACCACTGCCACCTCTCTGAATTGAGTTTCAGACTTTTGTGATAACCTGCTGATCCAAGCAATCCTTTTTAAAGCACAACACAAGACAGAAAGACACCTTCAAATGTAATTGGAAATGGGGCACGATGACCACTCGCAACAGAAAATCAAATTGTTGAAAAAGAAACATGCTGAATAATCTCATATCACCACTGAGTCTCTGCATTATTTCTCAGACAAAGTCTTGTAAGATGAATTGCCATCTCAGACATCCACAAACTCAACATTGAGTTGAGGAGTTTTAAGATCATTGACCAGCTGTAATGTTACTAATTGCAAGATTCCATCTCCACTGTGATCAACATTCCGAGTCCATTTTCTAATCAAGACTGATGAAAGCGGTTTATATACCCTCAGTGTTGAACTAACGGGGACATTAACAGGGTTCATCTGTTTTGACTCCTCCTCTGCTGTTTAGGTGGTTTATTCACATCCACAGTAAATGAATGCACTGTGACAGGTATTTTTCAGTATTCATATAGCCACAGTCAATTTGAATAAACTACTGTCATCTCCTATAAAGGATGCTCTGGCTGCGGAAATTCCCCCAACTAAACAGATTTCCAATCCTCAATGAAATAGTGCATGTAAATTACCCTGTCCCATTTTCCTTACAGTATCGATTATGACAGAAAGGCTCAAGATCATATGAGAACATTTGCACATCAGCCCCAGAATGCAGCTATCACATACTTACTGTATGATGATGGAAAGTAAACCATTAAGGGAGAATGTCAAATAAAGCTAATATATTGCTTTCACGTGAATAACTGAGAGGATAACAGCCAGGCCTATTTACAGAGCATAGATACACACAAGCATATTTCTTTAGAGCCAGATTAAAAACTCATAGATGGGCCATCAACCTGAACCCAGAGTGACAGTTACAGGCTTTCAGAGCCCACCCCTCTCTCTGCACAATGTTGGGGAGGGGGGGGATCCTACATGTTCATTCACAGTGGGTGATAAATGGTTAAAGGGGCTCTGTAGAGTGTAATTAAATAACGTTCAACTCTTTACGTCAAATAGAGTATCATGCTGTAAATTGAACAGCAATGAACTGTACTGTACATAGCCATTTATCCAGGTGGAAATACTGATAAATGTTTCATTTCTTCACTTTAATTTAAGCTGGGTCATTCCAGTTTTCTGTGGTAGCAAATTATTCTAGAGATGCAATGAGCAGGGCATGCAGTGAATGAGGCATGCAGTGAATGAGGCATGCAGTGAATGAGGCATGCAGAGAATGAGGCATGCAGTGAATGAGGCATGCAGTGAATGAGG